AGGAATTAATAAATACCCCGACGATAAAAAAGTTACATAAAAGGCGCCGGATATGGCCATTGGCCACAGAGTTTCATGAACACAACCATGCATACTGTTATAGATATATGTTCCGGTATTTAAAAATATCTTAGCCGTACTCACAGCAAGGAGAGTTGTCCAGGTATCTAGCAAGATATCGCGCGCCTCATAGCTCCACGTCTCTTTATCAGTACTATTCACCATTAATACTTTGACAACTTCACCCATTAACATAGATAAGAGTGTAAGAGTACCAAAGGGCCTGAAGAAACAGGAAAGAACCAACTCTTTTATGAATAGCGAATCACTAAATAGCTTTTAACTGCAAGAAAGGTCATATGTCAAAGACCTTATTGATCGCAACAGTCGGTCAAAGACAACAGGAGTAGTAACTGTCCCAATAGACAACAATGCACGACAACCATCGATCATCTCACTGGAATAAGAAGTTGACGGCACAATGTTAGACTTGGAATATAAGACATAGAAATCAAGCAGGGTAAGAATGTTGAACAGCTAACCTCCCACTCCTTCCTTCTTCAATCTCCTTTGAAATGACATCAGGAGGATCAATCCAGGGTAACACCCCCGACAGCAGGAGGAGCAGATGCTGCTCTCGCAACTGTGCATTGTCTAGATTATTGAACAAGTCACTCACAGAGAAATATATATACATCTATCTTGATAAGCAGGACATGATGGACATAAATTGGCAAAGAAAACTAGATGCTGAACGAACTTGATGTTTCAATAATGTATTCAACAAAAGAGCATACTAATTAGTAGAAATTACAGAAGCATAAAATACTCACTGGATGGAAATATTTCCCCTGCCAAGGAGCACAATTGTACAATAAGTTTCCGAGCAGAGACTGCAACAGGACAATCTAGCCAATAGCCTTCAAGAGCAAACTTCTGCCTCAGCGACGTATATAGATTTATCAGCCATCCAACATGTGAACTTGAAAGCAAAACATCACACCACGAAGCACCAGGCTGCAATCAGCACCACTGAAGGTGAGATTTATGAAGAGTCCATGAAAGTGTCTTAAAAGAAAACACGTATAAACTCTGACATGCTAGCATCATTCCATATTATACCTCTGAATTTCAATAAGTGAAGGAAGTTCACGCACTCTAATAAATCTTAATATAACAATTAACTACCTGAACTATTACACACTCTATCTTTCGTGATGATGCAGTATCAGGTCTAGTTCCATCAGTGAATACATTAATGCTGGCTCTTGTGCCACCTTTGCCGTAACGAAACTCCCAGTTTAGTATTTGATGCATAAGTCGCAGTGTAGCATTGCAAACCTTAACCTCAGGGACATCAGAAAATGATTCAATAATCTTGTTTGTAACACTTAAAGCAGCATCCTGTGCCCAGCTATAGAAAGTCTGCAATTGAAAACATCGAAAGTAAACAGCACAATTCTAGTAACAGAACCCTCGGTACGGGCTATTATTCTTCCACAGACAAAAGGATTATGGGTGTCACAATATCTGGAAGCAAATAAAATCCTAAAGAGTACCTTCAAAAAGTTTTGTTCTAGTGACTTGCAGCAATTATCATGAAATTCCCTCGGGAGACCCATGGGACTTGAAGTAGAGGGTGAGAATTCAGATATCTGAGATGAAGAAACTATGAGCACACATATGGTATACAATTAACCCCAGAAAAAAAAAATAGAAACAGATCATTACCAGTGATTCAAGAAAATTTATGCCTATGAACTGCACATCTAAGCCTCGAGAACCAAGAATAGCCTGGTTGATCTGTAAACATCAGTTATTAAAAGCCAAAAGCAAATCAATATCATGATCCTTTTAACAAACATTAATATCACGATTCCGTTGTATTTCTACGAATAATTTGCAGCACTTCCGCAGTTTTTATTTCAACTTATATATAATCACAACTCCAGGTATACCCTGAACCAATATCTTTTTACTAGGGCATAGAGCATACAAGACGTATTTAGCTGGAATATTGAGTAAAGGATCCATAACTACTTAGTCACCCAAATGATTACTAGTCAACCTATTCAATCACTGTATATTCTTCCCCGTACAATGGTGGATAACAAGTAGCACCATCTATGTAGCTAAATCTCGTCAAACTGTAAAATACAGAAACTAAATAGAGAGTCCAAAAAAAATTGCACTACAGTGCAGATACCTGGTAGAAAAAGACTTCCTTCTCGCCTGGAGTAAACTCAAGCCTATAAGAGTTAATCATTCAGATTTGAAGTCTCCTTAGATGAACTAAGCAAGCAAAAACATAAATACAAAGTAATTTGCCTAGATTTCTTTGCACTACTCTATTTTCCAAAATAATAAGAGTGTGATCAGCAACATCATGTTCATGAGTCCTAGTGACAGCTAACTTCCAGCATTTAATGTGCATGCTTTATAATTTTGAATACCAGAAGCAGCCCAGCTTACCAGCCTCTTTTCATCAGCTGCGCAGCCACAGAAGATACTTTTGAAAGAACATAACCCTCTGATGCATTCGCATGCTGCATAACGTAGCCAAGACAAAAGCTGCAGAAAAAAAATTAGCAATATTTGAGAATTTCTTATTCGTATGAGCCAAATCTCATAAGAAAACCTCTAATATATTAAAAGATAGTCATGATTATCACGGAAAATGATGTGTGTTCATACCAACAACAAAACATGACAGTCAAGAAGCAGCAGGTTTCACAGTCGAGAAAAAAAGTTGCAGTATCCCAAAACTACTATATTGTGAAGCATGTATGTTCCCAGTTGATTCGGAAAGCCAGTAAAAAAAAATGACACCAAGGGTTGCCTCCTGATAGAGCAGAGGGTGACCACTCAACTAAGTGGAAACTAAAGCACTCATCAATGAAATATCAGTATATCACAAAAGAAGAGAAACTACCTAATCAAACCCCCTTTATCATCAGTGGAAAGAAAACTCCATTCCCTGATAGCTGCTTCTTGAATAGCTGCAGCAGCTTGAAACCTAGCACTTGCTACCTGAGAATTTTCTGGAAGTATAAAACACTTTCAGTCAAACAGCTGTAACTTCAAGTGCACTAGGGAAGTCGAGCTCGGAACTCAGAAGAGTAATTTACCAAGAATGAATCTACAAGCCTTATATGGCTGTGGGGACTGGTGAAGCGACAAAATGGTTGCTTCAGCAGCAGCTGGATTAGTATTTATCTGCTGGGAAGAAAAAGAAAATGTCAAGTACTTGTCTCGGTTAAGTAGAATAGGCAAAAACAATAGCACTCACATGGAAATATGAAATTATCTTGTTACGGAAATGCTTAAAATCTATGACAAGCTCTTGATAAGCAGAGAGACGGAAATATAGTAAAATAGTTCAGCGAGGCATTTTAGTCTCTAGAGCTAAGTCAACAGAGACGCACAGCACATAAGATTCTAAAGAAGAAAACTCATAGAGCAACTTGCCACTTTCAATACCCTCCTCTCCAGTGACTTCAATTTGAAGCCAAACAAATTACGAGAAAAAGTGTTCACAAATTCAAGCACACGCAAACATCTACAGCTTCCTCCAATTTATTAGGAGACCAAAGAGGAGACACTGAGCCACTTGTTTATGCGTAAGTATAAAGGAAGAAGCAAAAAAAAAAAAAAACCTGAATGTAAGAGCAAGCAAGTTCAATCGCGCGCATGGTGGATTGGAGCTGAGCCAAATCCTCAGCCCCAACTCCACCGCCACCGCTTCCATTAGGGAACCCTAACATCGCCGAATCCAGTAAACGGAAAATCGACAAGTCTCCTCGCTTTCCAGGTAAAGAAGAAATATGGTCTAGTAAACTGGAAAATGATAAAGAGTGTGAAGAAAATGGGAGGAGTATAAGGGGATAAAAATCGATCAGGAGGAAGGAAAAATGACGGCGTTTGAGTAGAGTGAATGGCGGAGAAAGGGATCGATGGCGACACAGCCGGAGAGATGGAAACGGTGAAGGGCGTGTCGCGGCTGGCTATTACGAGCCCGTTTTGAAGTCGACATGAATTTCCACGGTATTTACGGATATACCTTCTCAGGTTTAACACCTGAGTGAATATACCGGACCGGACCGGCTGGTTCAATTAGTTACATCGCAGCTCAGACGCCACTTGTGTCAGTCTCCTAGGTCTATATCACGAAAATGTTTGTTAAGTGAAAGTTTTAGAAGTTTTTCAGATACGTTAGAAGAATCGGTGAACTGGATTGAACCAGTGCATCTTAGAAATATAATGATCGTTTATGATGTATGTTTATATTTAGCAATTCTGATTTAGCCTAATATAATCCGACAAAAGTTGTGTAATTCGAATTGTCCTTGCCTGATTTTTCTCAAAGATTTTCGTCGGCAAATCGCAGAAAACAAAAGTCAAAGCGATTGCGTTGTTTCGGAAACTGCGATGTTTCTAGCCAAAGTATCATTCTGAATGGTTGCTTACTTTTAGTGTCTCTATAAACGAACCTGCCGATTGCGTTGGCTTGAGTCAAGCTGCTTAACTAGTAAAATATCACTTAAAATTCATATTAAGCACTGTAGATGATCAGTTGAGTTATCAACTTATCATTAAGGATTCACAAAAAGAAACAAAAAAAAAGTTTGATTACAATTCTTAAACTGCAATACTATTCCATGGAACAAAATGATCAACTAATTGTCTACCTAATTTGTTGACCGGATTGTTTTGGAGACTGGGTCATATTTTCATCATCATATCGTATCATATGGGCCCTAAAATAGAATTTAGAAAGAAATGACGACAAAAAAGGGAAGAAATTAACAAATAAAAAATTAAAGGGGCCAATTGAATAACAAGGAGAAAATCCTTGCCAATTGAATAACAAGGAGAAAATTAAAGGGGCCAATTGAATAACAAGTAGAAAATGGGTAATCAGATTTTATAAAATTCAATTTTTTTTAAGTCGCCCTCAAACTGTACTTTGACTTCAACTCTCTTGGCTACAGAGTTTCGTCGACGGCATAAGAACCTCACTGCAACTAGAGAGAGAAGGACAAGAGAGAGAGATGAAGGTGGTGGCTTTAGTCAGTGGCGGCAAAGATAGCTGCTATGTTATGATGAAGTGTATCCAGTACGGTCACGAGGTACGTATCCTTTTATCACTTGTTGTTAAGAGTTTCCTCCCTGAAATTACCTCCAAAAAAAGTTTTTTTTTTTTATGCTATACGAACTTAAATCTCACTCGGGGTTGCCCGATTTGTGCTTCCACAGATTGTGGCATTGGCGAATTTGTTACCGGTTGATGATTCGGTCGATGAATTGGACAGCTATATGTATCAAACTGTAAGATTCCCTCTCTTCCTTAGTTTCATATCGTTCTATGTAGGTTCTTAGTAGTGAGATAAAACCAGATTCTTCATTTGAACAGTGGCTTGAAGCAAGATTGGGTTTTTCTATCTCATATTGGTCATTTAGTGGTCATATCAACCTGGTTCAATGTATCTTGATTTGTAAATGTGGTTGTTTTTCTTGAGAAGACTTAAAGACTAGATATTGTCAATAGTATGATATAAAGGCTTTATGAAATTTGAATCTGAATTTCTGTTTTCTTTTTCCCTCGGGTACCTTATTCTTTGATTGAATCTCCATTCTTCAGGTAGGCCACCAGATTATTGTGAGCTATGCAGAATGCATGAATGTGCCATTGTTTAGAAGGAGAATCCGAGGTTCTTCGAGGTGTAAATCCTTGGGGCTTTTTTCTTGAGATTCTAATCCATTCTTTAGTAGGAGATTTCGTTTTAATGAATTATTCTGAGGATTTATATTCTTATAGGCATCAGAAACTTAGCTACCAAATGACTCCAGATGATGAAGTGGAAGATATGTTTGTGTTGTTAAGTGAAGTGAAGAGACAGATACCTTCCATCACTGCAGTCTCGTCTGGTGCGATTGCATCAGACTACCAACGTCTGCGGGTGGAAAGTATTTGTTCAAGGTTAGGTCTTGTTTCTTTGGCATTTTTGTGGAAACAAGATCAGACATTGCTTCTTCAGGAAATGGTAAACTGTTTCAAGATTCAAGCTTTTTTTCAATATCAAATCTTTCTCTGATGAATTTTTCTTCTTTAATTCTTTGCTCATTTACTTGCAGATAGCAAATGGGATCAAAGCTATTTTAGTCAAGGTGATAGGAGTGTTGTTATATTTTCTTGCTTCTATTAACATCGACATCTTCCTATACTTATGGTTTTCTTCACATTAACAGGTGGCGGCAATAGGACTGGATCCCTCTAAGCATTTAGGGAAAGACTTAGCCTACATGGAACCATATCTTTTGAAGTTAAAAGAGTACGTATGCTATGCTACAGCTCTTTTTTAAGGCTTCATTAAGAGTATTATCTAGTTGTGTTACAGTGATTCGACAGCGTTTGAATGTATCTTTACTTAGGTTATATGGAAGTAATGTTTGCGGTGAAGGAGGAGAATATGAAACTCTGACTCTCGATTGCCCGCTTTTCACTGTATTTCTTCTTAGCACCCTTAACAATAATTTTGAGTTCATTATCACATTTGTTTGTAGTTTAACAGTTTTCTGTTTTGTTAGAATGCGAGAATTGTGCTCGATGAATTTCAAGTTGTGCTACACTCTCCAGATTCTATTGCACCTGTTGGAGTTCTTCATCCATCGACATTCCATCTCGAAAAGAAGGGGAATCCAGACTTTAATTCACTTGGGGAGGAGCCAGGTTTAGTGTTTGAGGTGCACGGCGATGGTCCTAACACATCAGAATCTACTCGCCAACGAGATAATGGAATCGTTGATATAGTTGAACATACAAGAAACAGATTAAACTTATCAAAGACCGAGAAAGAAAACACATTCTCCATTTGCTGCTGGTTGGAAGATTCTAGTGAATCTTCAACAGGTAACTCCAAAAACAGGCCAAATTTTCAAGATGCCCTCGTGCGTGTACTTGATTAATGCTTTATACTTTTTGAACAGGTCTGAAAGAAGATCTTGAGACTGTTCTTACAGAAATTGAATCGCAGCTTTTGAAACATGGATTTAACTGGCAGAATGTCTTGTACATTCATCTTTATATCTCTGATATGAGTAATTTTGCTGTGGCAAATGAGACGTATGTGAAATTTCTCACACAACAGAAATGCCCTTTCGGTGTTCCTTCACGCAGCACAATAGAACTTCCTTTGGTACAAGCGGGTCTTGGAGAAGCTTACGTTGAGGTTTTAGTCGCGAATGACCAAAGCAAAAGGGTTCTCCATGTACAAAGTATCTCTTGCTGGGCACCTAGCTGCATCGGACCTTATAGTCAGGTGAAAAAAAATTTCCTCTTCCACTTCTGAATAAAGTTTACAAGTTTTTTTTTTCGGGAAACTCAATTACTTTACTATTAAACTTAGGCCACTTTGCACAAGAGTGTTCTTCACATGGCTGGACAATTAGGGCTTGACCCTCCCACGATGAATCTTCGAAACGAAGGCGCGATTGCTGAGCTGAATCAAGCATTGACGAACAGTGAGGCAATAGCAGAGTCTTTTAGATGCTCAATCTCTTCATCAGCTCTTCTCTTTGTCGTATTCTGTTCAGCACGCACAAAACAGTCAGAGAGGAACCAACTTCATGAAGAGTTTGTTACTTTCTTAAATTTGGCAAAGTCTTCTCGGAGGGTATCGAATGTCCTCAGTCCTATTTTCCTTTACATCCTTGTCCCCGATCTTCCCAAAAGGTATTAAACACGGCAGAGTATCTTATATTTCAGGTCTGTGGATCTTGGGTTTTAAACTGTTGTTCTGCAGGGCACTTGTTGAAGTAAAACCTGTATTATACGTCGAAGAAGATACAGATACCGAAGATGAAGCCATACAAGATCAATCGGGTGAAGGAGACTACAGTTATTGGGGATATAAGCCAGAGAAATGGCACCAAGATTGCGTGGAGAAACGAGTTGTTGATGGGAAAATATGTGTGACTGTTCTCTCCATCTCAGCCGAACTAATGAGGAAAGTTCAAGAAGCTTCTGGAGAAGAAGAACAACTGCAGAGAGTATCGAGATTCTGTGTATATCTTCTCAACAAAACCATGTCTGAAAATTCATTCTCTTGGCAAGACACGACGGTGAGATTGAGATTCTTGAACACAACTTTAGTCTCTCATCAAAAGCCTTGCTTATATCTTCTTCTTTCTTTGTTGATGCAGAGCTTAAGGATACACTTCTCTACAAGTCTTGGTGTGTCCGTAGAGAGATTATCGGACATTTTTGAAATTGCATTCAAAGAGCTTAACGAGATGATTCATGGAGTTAGAGTAGGCGGCTCAAAAGAACCTATCTTCAATCTCGTCCCGGTCCTTGGTGCTGGAAACTCTTCTGCTTCACTCGACAACTTAATCACCTGCGAACTGTTTGCCCTAAGGTCGTAAATTTCCTTGTATGACAAGGAACACAAAGCTTTAATTTTTTTATCTTGTGCTGACACTCCTCTTCAATGGGTTTCCGGCTTTCTCGGCTCATCAAATGCTACTAGTGGCGGACCATGGGTTGGAGGGGATTTTGTAGTTATATTTATTTTTTCAAGTCAACATAAATAATCAGTATAAATGTTATTTTTCTATCCGGATCATTATTGTCATCCCCATTGTGCAATATACAATTCCTTTTGAAGGTGAAACTAAGAAGGAAAAGGACATGTCTGTTTTCTTCGTCTCCATGAAATTCATGATACACCTAATCCCAAACTTGATGAACTCTAAAAGAAGCTTATCCATTTTATAGATAAATATATAAAAAACCAATTGAGGAATTAAGAGTCTCACTTGGCAGTCTTTCAGCTCTTCTGGTTCAGACTCCGGTTGCACCATCTCCACACCGAGAATAAGAACAAAGTTGTCACTGTTTGGCTAAAAACCATTGAATAGGTTATTCCTACGTGTCATGAAACAGCCTCCTAATCTGATCCACGCTGGCTGGAATCAATGTCACTGGACATCGCTTGTACTGTTTACCACAGAAGATCAATATAAGCTTTACATCGGGGGTGTGGTCACTGGATATACTTGGAGAAAACGCTTGGAGAACTCACCTTTGAAACATACTTAAATACACAAGAATAGCAGAAAACAAATCCAGAGACTGTGACAACTGATGGGTTTGCACGTTTTTGCAAGCATAACGCGCAAAGGGAACTGTCAGGGGGTAGAGGGATTCCGTCTTTGGCCACCTGTAAGGGAAACTTAAAAATTATTCACAAAGCGAAAGATGTCTATATTAATTTCCGGTATAGCTCTACCAATTGATTGATTTACCTTTGGGGCTGGAGGAGGTGGAGGTGGAGGGTATACGGTTGGAGCTGTCAATCTCTCTTCAGCTGATTGATACCACCATTCCATCATCTACAAAACAAGACGAAAAAAGAACGAGAGTTTTATGTCCAATCTCCTTCAGAATATGCTTACAAGTTTCAAGATGGTAAAATAAGCAAAGATTCGTAAAGGGAAATTTATGGACACTTACTTTAAAGATAAAAACTGCTGCAATTAAACCGGTTTGGGCGTAGTCAAGCACCGCATATGAACAGCTAAGAAGTGCCCCTTGCACTGTCTAATTCAATAAAAACAATATTGTCAGACGTTGGGTCATCAAAGTGTAACCGATAGTAGGAATCATCAGCTTATCTCATTACTTAGATTACAGGAAGTTCAAGAAAAGTGAAATCATACTTTTAGCCATGGAGGACCACGAAGTCTCTCACGCTCATGGTTCCGTATCTTTGAAATCCTTGAAGATGTATCCATCTATCTTGGCATTAATCAAGAGGAAAAAAGCAAGACAAAAAGTGTGTTAGAAATAACACATGTGAATGCACAACTTGAAGTGTTTTTACAGGTCTATAAATTCTTGCAGTAAGATATCTAGAATTGACGATAAGGTGAGTATCGTCCAACAAAGGTAAAGCTCCTGAATTCTATGCGGCCTGTAGTACAACATCCTAAAACAAACATGACTGCATTTTCATTCCTTACAATATGCTTAACCCTCCTTTGACTAGGGACAACCCAAACAAAATAAGTGGTGAAAAGAAATTTCAAGCAAAAAGAGGGTACCAGCTCCTGCCCTGTAGCTCGACAAACTTGTATCCCAAGAGCTTGAAGCCCAAGAGAATAAAATCCAGTAGCGTCCAATAGATATAGGAGCTGGTAAGTGAATGATAATCCTGCAAAATGAAGCCCAAATCATCCCAGATAAGTTAACTACAAAAAGATGCCAGAGATCTAATATGAATCCTCATATCATATTCAAGCAAATGCAGGCGTAAAGTAACATTACTCAGAATACTACGCAGACATGCACTAATAGCACGGATTGTGATTTCAATTTAGAAAATCAAGATTACAACTCTAGGCATGAAGCTGAACAGGGTAAAGTAAGAACAGCTCCTAATTACGATAAAGAATCATCAGATACTAGGCAGTCAGAAACATTCAGGCTCTACAAAATTGACAATTACCTTCACTGGATGCATGTATCCAAGGATAGCAGACAGCTATAATCTTTTTAATTTTCGAGGCTAATTGTGCTCGAACAGAAAGCTCTTGATTCCCGCTAATGTCGTCTCTTGACACAATTGATTCCTCCCCTGTGAAGAAGTCAGCATCATCAAATCCTTGATCCTCTGTTCCCCATAAACTTTCTCGGAGCCTCGCTTCCCTTTCCTTGTTATAGATTGCATGTAACTTTGACTTGAAATATGGTAACACAACCTACAAAAGGCACATGTTAGAAGGCGGTATCAAGCTTAAAGGCGAAAGCTTTATGATATTAACAGATACCCATTTACAAAGTTTTTGCATTTATGATAGAGTCATTACCAGAAACACAACAGAGAGGATCCTCTGACGTTTCTCTAAACCGGAATGTTGAACTTCTTCGCTGGAAGAATCCTTCCTAGCACTCTCTTTTCTCAATCTCAATCTCACTGATTTCCTCCTCAACCCGTACAATGATTCAGCAAACGAAGAATCTGAAACAATTCACAAAAACTAAAATTTTTAAACAGAAATTCCAATACACAATATCACACTCCTGGAATCCCCAAAATAAAAACCAAAACACATTCGAGAATCGACCTGTAGTTCGTAAGCTATGTCCTTCGAGAATAAGCATCAGAGCAGCATAGAATTCATCCTCGTAGTCTAAGATTTTATGGAGGAACGATCGTCTCAAAGCAAAAACCTGAAAACCACGAACAGAAAGGCCTAAGAATCATGCCGATATATACCGGATTCCAATCCTAAAAGAGTATGGCATTTTAGGGTTTCCAAATTACGCCGAGGGAATAAGTGAGAGCGGCGCGAAGGCTAGCCGGAAGTTGCTGAGCCGCAGCCATCTCAAAGAAGGTAGGGCGTGTGCCTTCACCTCCCACCTGAAACAGCATCGTCTTCCTCCAATCCTTCTCTACTCTTCTTCTTCTTCTTCTTCTACACTGGGATTGAGACCAGTAGGTTCTTCAGAGTTGCAGAGAATTGGGAAAGAAGATAGACGAAGGAGAAAAGACGCATTTCGAGAGAGAGAATATTAGTATTATTACGTCATAAACCAAGGTCTTTTGCCACGTCATTTACCATACATAGCTGACTCATCAGCCGACAATTGTCCAACTCGACAATGATTTTTCCACGTCAGCTATACATCTGTTACTTAATTTGTGTCTTAAATTTCTTAATTCATTGTGACCACCCAAGTAAAATCACACTTGATAGACTGGGAGAAAAAAATCATCAGTTTTTTCCATTTTATTGCTGCTGTGAGTTTCAGAGAAAGTAACAAAAGCGAGAACCAAGAACTCGTTTAATATACACACAGTTACATCTGTTGCAAGTTGCAACCTCTCTGGGTTTCAAAAAAAACCTAACTTGGTTCACAGTTGATAAGAAAGATTTCTATACAAAAAATACTCCAAACCCAGGTTAGTATCATATCTTCCAACTTCTTCAGGTCACGGGATGTCTAATCTTTTCTAACGCGTTTCCTAGTAGTCCCAGAAGCAGCTTCACTTTGATCCATTGTGCAAAAACTACTCTGCAGTTTCTGATTTATTGATAGCTCTGAATTAGGGAACACTTGTAAAAGGTCTGGTGATGGAGCTGAAAGGTCAGCTTCTGGCATTGGTGATGAGCAAGAAGAGCCTTTTTTCTTCTCTTGCAACTTCTGTTGTTTCTCAATCATTATCTGAAGACACCGACCTTGTTCTTCAATTTGTAACTGCAATGATCTTTGGATCTGCATTGTATTAGACCAAGATCAGAGAAACATAATCAGATAACCAAAAACTAGGAATCGGAAGAAAAAAAAAAAAGGGAAAAGACATTGTTTTGTTTCATATAAGCTTCTTTTACGAAGTTGGAATCATACTTCAAGTTGCGCGTGGAGTTGTTTCTGAACTTCCATCTGTAACCGTAGAGCTTCAGTGATTTCAATGCTCCTGAAGAAGAAGACGAGAAAATCGTAAATAAGAAGAGGAATATTTTCCACGGTGCTACATATATAGTGTGTCTGACAAAAGATCTGAAATTTTGCTTACGTCTTCAAGTCAAGAGATTTGATATCTTCAATGGTTGTTAGATTCTTCTCTGGAGGTTTCTCTGTTCAAGAGAGAAAACAAATTTAGTATAAAAATGTGTTTCTGCACACAAATGGTCACATATATATACATATTTAATAGTACCTGTATCTTGTATAAGCTCCGGTTTATACCTTGCTGTTCTGTATTTCTAGAGAAGTCAACAATATAAAGACGGATCAGATGAGAAATGAGCTGAGCTTTAAGCAGATAAGCCGAGAACAGAAATCAGAAGAAGGAAAAAATACAAGGACAATACTAACCTGCAAATGGCTTTTGACATGATAAATGGTCAACCCTGGGCTATTGATGAGCTTCAAAACAGCCTTAGGGGTGGCTCCTATGGTTTGCAAGTATAAGCCACGAGAATAATAAATTGCTGAGCTAAAACTTGAAGGCATGAGAAGAGGGAAAAAAAAGGGGGGGGGGGGGGGGGGGCTACGCACGTTCACTACCACCAAGTTGATTGATAGCTTCGACAAATGCTTCATGAAGTTCTGGTGTCCAACGCATTCGTTGCTTCGATGTCACCGAACTAGCCGGTGAGCTTTTGGCATTAAACTTCTCCATTGACGATGGATCCACATGATGCTGATTATAGACTACTATCTCTTGCTTCGCAGTATCAGAAGACAGTATTGGTATCTGTAACACATCATGAGAGCCTCTCCTAATCAATACACTTGAAGCCAATAATTTGATATAAAAGAAGAAGCCAGACATTCATATTTTAGCTGCGATAACGAACTTTTGAATCTTGATCGAGGACATTAGGATCACCAAGAAGCTCCGACCAATTTGGTTCTACGCCATCATCAACAGAGATCAACTGATTCGCCCAGTCTGGCCATTCGCTTTTTGAATGGAGTTCCTCGGATGAGACCATAGCTCTGCTGCTCTCTGCTTGTGGATCCGGAACAGGAAAGTCAAAGAACCCCTGGAGATGGTCTGAAGACCAGCTCATATCTTTCTGCTCTCGAGGTTGACTAATCACTGGCAGGGATTGTGTTCCTTCCACAGAGAATTCCTGTCTCTGTCCTTCTCCAGAGACTTGAGAGGAAGTCCTTTCATGTGCTGAAACATACATACCATTGCAGAATCCAGAAGAACTGCCACCAGAGACAAGAGGAAACACTTGGCAAGGTACGGGGTTATTCATCAGTTCTTGTCCTGGTGAAATCCAGAAAGAATTAGACAACTTATGATGGTATCTCTCATCTAGGTTTTGTATGAAGAAGAGGATAACACGAAGACATAGCGGCTGGAAAACCGAAATCACTAGTAAGTGTCATAGAACAAGATATTAGCTTAGCAAGGAAATGAGACTCACTACCAAATAGTTATATACAGAAAATGACTCTAAAAGGAAATGAACAGTTGGAGACATTCCATAATTGATATCCTATCTTTCAAAAAAAAAAACTCCCAAGGAATATTCTTTACTTTTTCTTTTGCCTTGGATCATTAAAAAAACTCTTAGCTTTCTTTCTGCAATTGTTTCCCCTAAACTTCAACAAAGACTACAAGAGGAAACGAACATGAAGAAATTCTTTTATTCTTATCCAAAATAAAACTTGTTTCAGCCATGAAGCAAGAGAAGCTATCATGGAGATGACAGATGCATCAAAATCAAAATAGAAAAAGACCACAAATAAGATATGGAATCAAATGCCACTGAGAATGAAATTCACACGCATTTTTGGGAAAAAGGAAATATGGCTTTTGATAAACCACAAGGACGTGAAAGGAAGAGAGTCACAATGAGCACATTATCAAAATGAAACCTCAACATCTCCATCAAGAAAGGAGAATCTTACAGAGAACCAAAATCGAAGAAAAATTCGGTAACAAAATGACTTGACCATTGAGGTAAAACGATCCTTATATCATGACAAGTCAAAATCTCATGATTGTAATTTCCAATCCCTCCATGAAAAATCAGGCCTTTTTGCTTGAAAGTTTTTAAAAAAAAAAAAAAAACAGAGCATATTTCATAGAGAATCAAAACCACATCAATAAGAGACAATAACTGGACAGAATCAGCAAAAGGTAATCACTTTAATTTGAGCTCAAATTCAATTAACGGATCAAATGTACAATTAGTAAGTGTTTATTGTTTTTCCTTAATCATAAGGAAAAAAACAATCCAATAATCAGTTATGTATATATATATATATACTCCTTTAACTCACCGAAACATAAACAGATTATCCACTCCTTAAATTCCAAGTTTCTAAACTGAAAACAAGGGAAATCAAATGCCGACAAGTTCGAAAAATGGATTGTGGATCCTCGCCACACAGAAGAGAAGGAAGAAAAAACAAGAAGAAAGTAAAGGACAGAGAATCTTACTCGACCCAGCATTAAGCAGCAACACAGAATCCAAAACCGAATCAAAAACTAAAAGAGCTTTAATTGAATGATTGAAATGTTTTTGTCTTTTATAGTATTTGTCTTCTCGATCCCCCAAAAAAACACTCTTTCTTCCTAAAACCATGAGAAGACGAAATTTGTCTTGTCCTTCTTGAGGTCTATAATAAATTCCCAGGTCTTTGGTTTGTTACTGACCGTTGGATTTACATTCGCTTAGCTTATGGAAGTTTTGTTATAAAAATTAACAAAGGAGATTCATGTAGAGCACACTAAAGGAATGTTCGTTGCCGTAGAGGAACGTGTTATAATTATGAATCTGGTGGGGTCCATCTGATGTTGTTTCTATTTTATTGGTCGAGTGTTAAAATTTTTTTGTAATGAAAATTGATGATTGGTCGAACGTTGATCGGTGCTCACTACGTCAAGCACAACAAATTGCTAATAAATTTTTAACATTTTAAAGTGTTTGACCTAATTCACTAGTTTTCAATTTTATTATTGGTGTTACTATCGTGTTACTTTTAGATTTTTTTTTTTTATCCATGAAACAGAAAAAGTGATAAAAATAAATTCTAAAACCAATTATCCAATCATTGTTAGTCCACATTTTACACGGCGAGAAAAGAGAAGAATATACAAAATGTTGTAAAATAAAATTATCACTCCGCATCGAACTGGGCTTATTGTGCTAGTCAGTCACATTTCATCTCGGGCATTTCTTTTGGGCCAAAAAAAATCAGATTTCAAAACTGTATAATAATAAAGCCCGAATTCTCCGTTGCTAGCTAACTTATGACTTCTTCAGAGTTTTATATGGGCAAATGATGCAGAATTAGTTGAATTTATTATATGCTCTCATTTCTGCGAGAATTACATTTCAGCTGCACAATTTTGATTTGCTCTGATCCTATTTATAATTGAGGAAGCTCAAACTAGCACAAGAAGAGAACGAGCCGAGTTAAACCAGAGAGAAGGGAGTGAATCCACGTATATAACTGGAAATAGGTACAGAAAATTAAAAGGTTGAACGAAATCACAAGAAAACGATAGGCTGAAACACTAATATAAAGAATTGGCACGAGAAACGAAATTCTTATACGAACTAGAATCAAGTTGAAGGCATAACAGAAGTCCAAGGCAAAAACAAAACATCCTCAATAGATAAAGTGCAAAACGTTGTAACACAATTTAAAGATCTCAAACGATGGCGTTTGCAGCACTAGCGATCCTTGGCCACAGGTCGGCACACTCCTTTCCGATTGGTCCGGTGATAGCAGATCCTAAAATTACATCAGACAAAAACACAAATCAGAGATTCATCAGCTACGAAGAAACCAAGATAATTTCAAATCATATAAAACAATTCTTGTTTGATGAATTTCTCACCTTTCATTTCACCCTTGGGATTGACAATGACACCAGCATTATCTGCAAAATCACAAAAGTTTTTTAAAAGACATCCACAATCTACATAGATACCAGTTTAAGATTGAAAGCATATAGAGGAGATAATGGCAAATGCTTTACCTTCGAAGTACATGAAGACACCGTCCTTTCGGCGCCATGGCTTCCTCTGCCTAACAATGACAGCCGGAAGAACCTTCTTACGGAGATCAGGCTTTCCCTTCTTGACGGTGGCCATAACCATGTCACCAACACAGGCAGATGGCAAACGGTTAAGACGACCCTTGATTCCTTTAACCGAAATGATGTAAAGGTTCTTAGCTCCGGTGTTGTCAGCACAGTTCACTGTGGCTGCCACTGGCAGACCCAGCGACATCCTGAACTTGTTACCAGAGGTACCTCCTCTTCCTGTAAGCAATAAACATATTAAACAAATATTACAAATGAGTAACAGTATAAACCAACACAAGTAAGAGATTACAGTATTCGAAGCATAAGGATCATTTTGTCGGAAAATGATAAGACGGCAGGTAAAAACGCAGACTAAAGCTATAAATCAACACAAGTACAGCTCGAAAGGTTAAGATATCGGTATAAGAGTTCATGATCTAGAACACGAGAAACAAAATTAGGTATTCTCGAAACTAATCACAATCAAGTTAAATCAAGTTAATTGAAACGCATCTTCAGCTTCGTAAACCACAATCAATCATATTATTTACTGAAACTAACAAGTATATAGAATTAAAGGTGATGGTTTTCTAGGGAGAAATAAGCACTGGATCTTCAATACGCGATGTACAAGCGAACATAAGAATAAAATATCACAACATAAGGGGTGACGATACAAGAGATGGAAAGGGATTCTTACCTCGCTTCGACATGGTTGCAGAGTAGCAGCTCTCTCCTTAGGAAGAGTTTCGGTGGCGGTGAAGAGAGGATTTATATATGGTTATGCTAGGGTTTTCTATAACTACTATTGTGTGCTGACTTGGATTTCATAATATGGGCCGGAAAAGCTTACCAAAAAGCCCAATAATGCAATACAATTATCTAAGACAACTGAAATTCTCTTTTTCTTTTCTCAGTTTTTTTTTTTTTGTCGTAAGCTCAAAATCAGTATGTCAGTGAGTTTCTTTGGTAAAATATTAATATTATTCAAAAACAGTAAAAATTATTTTACGGAGGAGGGTCTGAGAAGGAGTTGCAAGGCAGAGGAAAATTATGAAGAAATAAGAAGAACATGAGCATGAGGGGGGCAATTTTTTAAAGTGAATACAGACCATCTTTTCCTTTTTTCTTTTTTGAGGCAATTTTTGAGGGAGGCAAAACACCATTTTTTTCCTTTTAAGACAATAATACCGACCATCTTTATTTGAAGGCCTAATGTTTATATATTTGACATTTGCAATGAAATTTCTAGAACAACATCAACAGTGAGTTTCTTTGGTAAGCCAACAAAACTTTCTTCTGGTCCTCAAAATCTTTGTCAACTTACCAGAAGAATTTGCCCAATTCAGATAATTTGACACCGTAAGAGAAAAAATCTGCGACCATAAAAGTTCTCACTCTGGAATTAAGGAGCTCAGGCTGGTACTAAGTGTATGTGGGTTGTGTTTACTCTAATGATCAGTCTCATTTGCGCTTTAATGCCACCGCTTTGGGACCTGCATTACAAGATTTTGCGGTTGTTACTAAACACTCTAACGACTGAATCATTCACTTCAAAATGATCAATCAAAAAGACAGTTGATGCTACTGGTCTAAAGACAATTTTCTCACCTGGTTGTTTTTTAGCGGGAACAATCTTTCTTCTTTCTCCTGACTTGCCTCCAGATCCTGACATATCATCAGAATGCATTATTAGCCAAGAAAATTCAGTTTTCCCTGAATCTCTTTTTTTTTATTTGGCATAGTGTCTATGAACCAATGTACTTTCCCAAATGGTATCTTGATCCGGATCTCATACTAAACAAAACCATGAACGTAGCTTGTGAGAGTAAACTAAGGAAGTAAGCCAGCGATCTGTCACAAAAACTGGAACAACGAAGACAATGTGTAAACATAACTGACCTTTTGGCTTTCTGTCTCTGCATAATTCGCTTCCGCAGCAACATCTAAATGCCTTCACGGGATGACTTTCATCACTAAAGTCTATCATGTAATCCTGCGATTAAATACACGGGTTATTCGTAGGGAGTATGTGTACAACTAGAGAGTGAATAACATTAAGGGAACAGTAGAAGACGTGCTTGGTCCATCTCATTTCATGGAGTTATCTACAAACACGCAGATATCTAGAACGGAAAAATTAACAGCATGCTCTAGCTTTTAGCTTTAGTAAAATATCCACAGTTGAGAGCGCAAAACTTCTATAGCCAGGTAGCTTAATCATGGTGCTTACCCATGTCAATTCATCCATGGCCTTCACGTCTCGTATGGTAAAAAAGGCAATCTGCACATTACCAAGCCCAGAAATTCCTTAATCTCACTGAAAATTACTTCCACAATCAGTGCCTGGAGGAAGGTAAGGTTAAGAGTGGATAAATCATATACTTACATGATAATAATGTCTGTCAGGAGTCTCTATCTCTACCGGAATATCAATTAAGTTTGCATCCTCACATCTGCATCAGCGATAAAGTTCAAAAGAACGATAAACTCTAAAGAGAAGCACGACAAAACCATAGCAAAAGGAGAGTTGATTGATACCTGTGATTGACAAACCTAGCGACATTTCCACATTTTGTGGCATCCAGGCAGAGAGCTTCTTCATCTTTTAAATCCTTTTCTGAACCCCAGTCTGCATCCAGGGTTACAGGGTATGTATGCCGTTCACCACTACAGCGTATATTCCGCTCGTATAACTCCGTGTTGGTCAATATTTCACCAATGTATTCACAAACAAAGGTTCCTTTCGGCAAGTCTTGCAGTGTTCTAATACCCCATCCTTTCCCTTCTTCAGTAAAGTAGACCTGGAACATACATTTTGCTTGTCAAACAAATGAAAAAAAAAGGAGAAAGAAAAACCAGGTAACTAGATCATAACAAAAAAAAACGTATGGTCGGCAAAGAGAAACCAAAGTAGCATCTCCCAGAAATGTTACCTGCAATTCGCACTTTATCCCTCTCTGTACTACTCGATTTCCACAGAGCATATCACATCCACACTTTCTCCAGCATTCCTTAATGAACTTCCTGATCAAGTGTCCATCACATTTTGCATGTGTGCCCTTATCGTGATCTCTCTCTAAAGGGCATTCTTGACAGTAAAATTTATTGAACGTATCTGGTGCCTTTTTCATCTTAAGACAAGTGTCCAGAAACTCCTCCTTTAGCAACCCTTCCTTAGTATAAGCATATTCTCCATTGGTTTCACGAGCACAAGCACATGGAAAGTCGGCTGAAAGACAGTCCCCCTTGCAGTCTGCGCAACAATCTTGATCGGAAATCCGAGCAAGAGACACATGCACATAAGCATTTTGGTATACGATGTTGTGAGGGATGTAAGTAAACTCTGGCACCTTCTCAGTCCCAACATCATCAACCAGAGATATTTCAACGCTCTCTGAACCTTTACTAATGTCAGAAATCTTTTTATATCTCCTCTTGCGAGCACCATTGCTAAGCTGTGGCTGCTTCTGGACAACCTTAGTGGACGTACCTGAGGTTGCAGAACGGGTTTCATAATTTTTTTTCAGAGTAGCAGGAGAGTCAATGACTGCAACATTCTTCCCTCTATTGTCATTAGATGAACCTTCACTTTTCTTCACGTTTTTTCTCAGAGAAGCAGGAGTGTCTACAACATGCTTCCCTCTGTTGCCATTAGATGAACCTCCGCTTTGCTTCTTCTCTTCTTCAGCGGAATATATAGCGTCGATCAGTGCACTATAGTTATCCAATTTTATGATATCCCAATCCTCATTAGACTCATTCAGTAGCTTCCGGAGCACAGGGAGAGTCTTCTCATCGGGAATGTTCAATAGCCTTGTTTTCTCACAAGCGTCGAGTACGTTCTCGTCGATGAGCATCGCTGGTTGCATATCAAGATCACTACCAACGGAAACTGCAAATTTTACACACACTAAAATTGTTATGGACACAAATCATTCGTCAAATTCAACATCCAGCTCATATCCAGCTCATATGAAATTGGGATCCGGTTGATGAAATTCAGGGAGAGGAATCGAAAAGAAAATTAAAAATCATTACTTAGTCATCAGCATCAGCAATCAAGCAAAATCTCTCACAAATAAAAGCCCTAAAAAAAAACTGGTGCTGTAATCCCGGGAAAAAAATCTGCAAATCCGAACAGCGAATGCAGAATCATCAAATCAATAAGGAGAAAAGTTTCCAAATTCAAAACTCATTCGAAACCAAAACAGACGCTAAGGTTATTTCGAAATCGAAATTCGCGTTAGTAAGCAACAAAGTGGAGTGAGAGCATTGGGAAACAAAGGAACGAGATGTAGAGAGCGAATTGAATACCTCAGTGGTTGTACGGAGAGACACTGTAGCTTCTAGAATTGAGCCGCCTAAACACAATTTGTGGGAGACAGAGATTGAATTGCATGCACAGAGAGAGAGAGACAGAGAGAGATCGAATCGAACCTTCTTTGCGATAGACAATAAAAATTAATTAAAAATTATCAACTGGAAAGTGGTAAATAGATCGACTCTCTCAGCATCCGATTCACTACCAATGTACATACATTGTTTGATCATAGTTTTTTTTTTCCCTTTTTTGTCGTTTTTATGTCTATAGGTCCATTGACTGGGCCTTGACTAGAGAGGCAATAAACAAATATAATCTTATGGGCTATTTGAACAAAAAAAATCTTATGGGCTAATTTCGCTTCTCTAGACCCATAAAAGTATACATAATAATTTTGACGGTAAAAAATCTTTTGCTCTTAATGCACTGAAATGCCAATTCTGCCTCATGCGACCAAACAAACTGAGTTGCCTTCATGCAATCAGTAATCGGTGCAATGATCGAGCTAAAGTGGGGAACAAAGCGTTCATAAAGTTTTTTTATTTATTTATTGCAAAACTCCTATATTGGACTCAAAGTTGGATTCAGCGAGACTGAAACCACAGCATTCTTTTAATTGTTCAGCTAATATTGGTCTAGAATCTCGAGTTAAATGGACTCATTGGTTCACTTTAATGGACTAGTTGACAAAAACAAAGTTGAGCAAAATAAGGTTCAATGGACTAAAAGCGTCGTTTGTAATTCGTATCCTAAATTTATACATTAATAATACATATCGATCCACTTTTTTATAAAAGCAAATAAAATAAGGTTGAAGGCTAGAAATGGATGTTATACCAGATAGATGTTTCATATGTTTTAGAGATTACATGTTTATCATCAAAATTTATAATACTCTCAAAGTGCTGGAATATATATATACAGATGTTACAGCAGATATTAGTCCAATACAAAACATCTACGGCATGATTATATCTTGTCACTCTTGTTCTTTTCCCAACCGAATTTGATTTCTTTCGTTTTGGAGAAAATTATAACAATCCCCCCCCCCAAGAAAAAAATTGTCAAACAAGAACCAAAAATTCTTTGGTTAGTTTAACGAATACAAGGAAAATATTTATTTTCCCAACATCTCTTCGGTTTAGACCTTCTCTTCAACAATCTGCAATATAAAGGAATTTGAATATTTCCGTAAAAACAATCAATTAATCAGCTCACACTTGCATTCAAATAATCTAATAGCACCACCCAGGCACCCATCATACATACCATCCAAACATATATTCAGAACTTGATTTTAAAAATCAAATTACTCAACGATATAACTACATAAGTAAACCTCTAATACTTTCGGTTGTATTAATATATAATACATATATATATATTTATTATTGTTAGTATTCCTGAAAATTATGTGAAAAAAAATTAACGTACCATCTCCCTTTTTACGTAAGCTCTTGAGGAACATGAAAAAGATAGCAACAAAGACCAAAGCCGCTACTCCTCCTACAACTATCGCCAACGACTTACCCACGTTTGCCTTTGTCCCTTCTGCTGCCAAAAAAAAAAAAAAAACGCCTTACCATTTATTGTTTGTTTATTTTTATTTATTGTATAAGGATAAATTCAGGCATGTTGGTTTTGGTTTAGTATGTTTGATTTAAAAACTGCAAATTGGTTTATAAGTAAATGTTTTTTCCGTATTTGATATTATCGTTTATATAAAAATGTTATAATGAATTTATACGTAGTATTTGCATTTGTGTGCATTTAACGTACGTACCGTGGTATGAATCGCCGGGAAATTCATGCGGGAAATATTTATACCCAACGTAGCACCCTTCTAAGTAAATCTGACCGGCGATAGACCACCGACACTCTTCTGCCACTGCAGCCGCGGCCGCACCGACGCATTCGCCGCAATCGCAGGCTTCAACGTGGCCGTCGCATTGAGCCACAACGTGCAGGAGTTTGTAGCTTTCCTCGTAGAACCCGTGCCCGTCAACGACTCCTGTTTCGGCTGCAGTGAGTGCTTCCGTTCTCATCTCTTCGAATCCGGCGAACGTCTCTGCTGTGGCTCCGTCGCATGTTTTGTGGATAGGACTTCGTTCCGGTGTTTCCAATAAATTGTAGTTATGATGATTTTTAGCTTCTGCAAAAGCAAAGACACAAGAAGTGGATCGTGTTAGAACTTGGAAAAAAAAAATTACTCAAATAATTGTTATCTACATTTTGGTTCATTTTCAAAATACAAGCATCATTAGCCCTTCTATTACAAAGGTATATATCCACCAAAAACAAAAAGACGTAAAAATTAGAAGAATATAGAAAATAAAGCTAATTATTTCATATATATATTGCAATTATTAGTTACTATAAACTATAAAGTTAAAATATCTTAATTTTGGAATTAAATTTGTAAATTAAGTGGTCGATCGAGCGTAGATATCCACTGTGTAATTCATACTTAGAAAATAAAATTATGAAATACACATGGACATTATGCAATGTTGAATATACTTACGAGCAGTAGGGGTATCAACGAGTTCGATTTCGTATACCAAGTGACATCCTCGAAGATGAACACGAGCTGACGTGGCATTTCTACACAATCTGGTGGAAATATCACGAAGAGTACTAACACATCTTTGGCATATCTCCCTCGGATAATCTTCTCTGCATTGAAACCATCCCGACACGGCGTGTTCTTCATTAACAACTAGCGTCTTAAAGAACTTCGCTTGAGAGGATTCTAAATCGAGTTTGCGTAAGAAAGAAGAAACTGCGTGTGCTCGAAAAACAAGATTCTGATTTGAGTAATTTGGATATTTCGTTGTTGTTTTTTGGAGGATGGTTGTGTCTGATGAGTCGCATTGTTTGAAAACTAGAGTGTCATAATCCAATTGGGAAGTGTTGATGAGAGATGGAAGTGAGACAAAGATTAGGGTTAGAGTTTGTGCGAGGAGAGATATCAACTGGAAAACCATGTTGAGATAAATATAGAGTAGGAAGAGAGAGAGAGATTATTATTTCATTGAGTATATATATTGGTGAATAGAGGTGGAAGTTGTGGTAGTTTAGATATGTCTATGTAGAGAGAGATTATTATTTCATTGAGTATATATATTGGTGAATAGAGGTGGAAATTGTGGTAGTTTAGATATTGTCTATGTATGTCTACTTGTCTACATATGTGTATAATTTGGTTGTGACTTGTGAGGTTAAGCGCATGTGATAAAAACACAGTCGAAATTTTATTGATATTTTCTTCTAGTTGGCATGATCCTAGCTGTGATATATTATCATGAAAGCAAGAATATTTTAAACTCGTATATAACTTGCAATTGCCAGTAACAGAATTTCATGAAATTGTAGATAGCAGTAACCAAAAAAAAAATTTCCGCTCAACTAAAGTTTACCTATCAAGAGTGAAGAGTGTCGTGTCAACCTGTAACCAATTTAGCAAAAAAATGTCAACCTATACCAATGGCGGAACCAGCTAACAATGAGGGGATCAACTGACCCAGATGAAAATTTTAAAATAGTTAAATCGTTGTTGTTGTTTTTTTTTAATAGATTTATCATTCAAGTCCAACACATGAATTGACCCTCTTAAAATTTAAAATTTAAGTATATTATGAATGATCCATGTAAATAATTTAAATAACAAGATGAAATTGAAATTTCGAAATGAAATGGAAATGAACTGTGAGTGAGGAGGAATCAAGCTAAACAGTAGCAATAACAGTCTTAATGGGATATGATCCAGTGTAAGCAACATACGCACCATATAATACATCCATATAGCATACGGTACACCCATATAGTTAAAATTGAAAAACAAATTGACATTATGCAATTAATTAATATTGTTATACAATAAAATTTTCTAATAAAATATTAAATATATTATGCAATGTATGTTGGATATTACTTACGAGCAGTAAGGTATCAACAACTTCGATTTTGAATATCAAGTGACGTCTTCAAAGATGAACACGAGCTAACGTGGTATTGTCACACAATCTAGACGAAATATCACGAAGTACACTAAAGCATCTATGGCATATGAAGTGCACTAAAATTTCACTAAGTGCACTAAAACATTTATGGCATAGGAAATCGTTCTTACTTATCGAAGACCATCAGCAACGCTAAAACGTCAAATAGGTTTCTAATTGATTTTTTATTATTAAATTTGAAGAGTATAAAAAAATAGGTTTTTAATTGACTTTTTTATTATTAAATTTGAAGAGTATAAAAAAAGAGAAAGAAGGAGAGAGAAATTGGTGAGAGAAGAAAGAAGAAAGAAGAAAGAGAAAGGAAGAATTTTGTTTCTAACTAATTAAAAATTGACATGTAACAGTAACAGAAGAAACGTATATAAATGTCTTCATATAAGAAACGTTTCTGCATTTTACGAAATCTACTTTAATTTTTATATTAATAAATTTCTTTTAAAAATGCTGAAGAGACGGGCATTGAGGATGCTCAAAGGTCTTTACTTTTTGTTTATACATCACAATCATTAAATAAATTGTCAAACTTTATTTTTTTAAACAGAATATTCTTGTCTATCTACGTATGTCCCACATTACTCTCTAAAAATTGATAATAAGTTTAGATAAAAAGAAACTAATAATAACCTTGGCAGGATATCAATTTTTCTTTTAGTTTGCATTTTAATCATATACTGTATTAAGTTAAATAACATCAAGATTGGGAGTCCACCAAAAAAAATAACATCAAGATTGGGAAAGCAATGCAGAGCAAAGAATAAAAAAATGCAAAAGAGACCTGGTAAAAACGAATAGAAGCAAGCAACACAAACTAATATGTCTGACTAAATGAATAGAGAAAATAGAGAGACGAGCCTAAAGCTCACCAAGCTGGTCCATTAGCATTGGAGAATGCATGACACTCCTCTTGGTAATTCACAAATCTTTTAGATACCCATTCTCACGCGAAAAGATGAAGCTTAATATATAGATTTTGAAACCTATCTCGTCCCTTGTCCTCTTCTTTATTCTAGACAATCATTTCCATTTGATGAGTGTTTTATGGAGAAGTTGTGGTTGCGCTCACCACGCTCAAAAATAAGACGCTTGAAAGGGAGCTTACGGATCAACAACTCTGGGATTGTGCCAATATCCTAGACACTTGAAGTTTTTTTGGTAGTTATGATTGTGGGTATAGGAATCAGTGGTCTTGTGTTTTCTCTGGGATTGTGCCAATATCCTAGACACTTGAAGTTTTTTTTCCACTGGAGTTGCTGGAAACTACGATGGTGCTTTGCAAGTGGTATGCTTTTCAATGGTGCTTTGATTACTTGCTTCTCAAGAAACTGCACACTAAATGTTTTTTGTTCTTTCCCGGTATGCGAAGCAGACACCACATTCAAAGCATATAATTTACCTGACTATATTAGCATTTAATTCGGGCTTGATTGTTCCAATCGTTATATCTAACCGTATCAAACCCGATATTCAAGCCAAAATGAAACCCAAAAGCTGTGAATTAAAGAGCTAAGCAAGGATATGCATCAAAATTTATTTAAAAATCTCATACTTATTTATTTATTGTTGTTTAAATAAATAAAAAGAAAAAGACAATGTAAAAGCTAGAAGAAGATAAAAAAAACAACTCCCCTATTCTTTCGTAAATATCGTTAATTCGTTATGACAGAAACATTTTCTCTTTGACTAGACCTCAAAAATGTTTCCTTGCGCACCAAAACAGAGTCAAAAGTCTTTATAGAAGCAAATCTTAAAAGAGTCAAAAGAATGAATGCCTGTCACCTTTTATAACCAATTTTCCGTTGAAGACAGTAGAAAAAAAAACCAACGGTCCAGTTCTTATCATGTCTAAAAACTACCAGCTTTCTTCCTCATCTCACGCTCCCTCTTTCCTTTCCTTTTTATTCTCCTTGTCAATCTCTTGTCAACTGATCGTATAATCATTCACGAGAGACGAGTGGACAAAAGAAGGTTAAAATTCCATTTTAACTTTCTCTAATCCCCGCTTCTTGCGAAAGATTAAACGAATCCATTTAGAGTTTCTTAATTATGGGTCGGCTCAAATTCGCATGCCCTGTTCTAGAGATCAACTTAATCTCAGCGCAAGATCTTGCCCCGATCTCTCGAAACATGAAAACGTATTCCGTCGCGTGGATCAACACCGATCCCATGAGAAAACTCACGACGCGCGTCGATCAATCCAATAGAGCTAATCCAATCTGGAACGAGAAATTCGTGTTTCGCGTCAACGACAAGATCCTAGACGTAGACGCATCGGCGATTGTGATTGAGGTTTACGCAGCGGCTTGGGCCAAAGACGCGCTTGTTGGTACAGTGAATGTTCTCCTTAGCGATCTCTTCGCTCCCTGGTCTGGTTTCGGCGACGGTGACGATGGTGGTGGCGGGAATAACAATATGAGGCTCGTGACGCTTCAGATTCGTCGTCCTTCAGGGAGGCTTCAAGGATTTTTACGGTTAGGCGTTGCGCTTCTTGACGGTGGTCAACGGAGTATGCCGTTATCGATTGAGGTTTTCGACGGAAGCAGAAGAGGAGGGAGGAGCAATAGTAAAAGAGAGCAAGAAGTCTCGAAGATGATGCATCATCGTCGTACGAATAGCGATCAGACGGATTTAACGACGTCGTCGAATGATTACGGAGTTAAAACAGGGCTAGTTACCGGAGGAGGTGGAGGAGGAGGAGGAGGAGGTGGTGTTGTTGTTGGTGCGGATAGTATGGTGAATGGTTCGCTGTGTAGCTCAGATATTGGACCGTCTGCGTCTGTGGTTGCGGCTGCGATTGCGCAGGGATTGTATAATCGGCAGAAAACGGCGGTTGCGGCGGCGAAAGAGGACGCGAGTTCGATTCTTGAAGGGAAGACGGAAGGGGTTGAGCATAGAGTGGAGAGGTGGAGAGCGGAGAAGAAAGGTACGGTTGCGAGTAATGAAGCGGCTGGATCGAGTGATGATTCTAGTGGGAAAGGAGGAGGTGGAGGAAGGAGGAGGAGGAGGAGGAGGAGAAAGGAGAAACAACAACGGCGGAGAAACGGAGGAGGAGAGAGGAAGAAAGGGTTGTTTTCGTGTTTTGGTAATGTGTTTGGTTGTGAGATTTCGATTACTTGTGGTGGTGGAAGCGGCGGAGAAGGAGACAGCACGAAGAAGAGATATAATAACAATAAAGTAGTCAATCTTAGTGCTGTAGACGAAACGTTTAGTCATTCTGCGACTTGACAAAAAAGTGTTTGTGTATATTTTCTTCTTTTCTTTTGGTGGTGTAAACGTTTGATGGATTAAATTGTGTAGATTTCAAAGGTTTGGGGTGAAACGTATATTAATAAAACTTCCTTTACATTCCTAGGGGGACGTTTCTGAATATTTGTATAATACTGGGGTTCTTGGGAAACGCTTTTTAAAAAAGTGAAGGAAAAAAAAAAAAGACCGAGCTTTTAGAAAAACGCATCAAACACCGTAACTTCATCATCAACCTTCCCATCTTTCTTACGCAATTACAACTTTAACGCCTTTCTCTCTTTCTCCACCGTGAATGTCGAGCAAGTCAATGTTCTGGGAAGGAGAAGCTCTCTGCTTTTCTGCTTCTCGCTAAATTTTTCCGAAATTAGGAAACAGAGAGAGAGAGGGAGGTGCAGAGGAACGGTGGTTTTCGCAGTTCCCGGTGATTTTATCCTTTATTTCTCTAAATCGGAGAATTGGAGCTTCACCCACTGCAAATCAACTCTTGGGTTTTTGTGGGGTTCTCTGAATTTTCGAGATTCCAGAGAGAATTTTTGAGTTTCCACAAGATGTTTGGGTTTGGGTGTGACTGCTTTTACTGGAGCCAAGGAATCTCCGAGTTTGAAATGGAATCTTCGGAGCCAAAGCCTTTCTCGCTTCCGTCTCCTCTTCCTTGCTGGCCACAAGGTACAAAAACTTTCCTTTACTGGAAATTGCAGTTTATTTATAGTTATGAAACTGAAAGTTGCAAGATTTTGTTTATGGAACTCTATTATTTTTCGCCTCCCATGAACATTTTGGGAAATTTTCGTCTTATTGGAATTAATGTGTCAAGGATTGCTTAGAAAAGGTCCGTCTGGCATCTAAACTTGTGAAGAACAATATGAATAGAATCAAAAGATTTGAAACATAGATAACCAAAAATATGTTAGTTAGCTTTGGTTTGATCAAAAATTTTTTTTTGGATTAGTCGTAATATCGATATTTTTATCTTTCATGCTTACAGAAGATAATATTAATTAGTCATCGATCCTTCTTTGGTTAATGACTTAATCTTATCTAGTTTTGTGGCTTAATTTAAAATAAATTTTCGAATGCGAGAATTATTTTCTGATTTATTGAAAATGGGGCTAAGGAAGATTCTTTGGAATATTCTGCATGGGTTCCCGTTGTCTTTTTCTGTCTTCTTTATTTGACTCTGAGTCAAGATTTTGTCTTTGAAAGTGGATACAAAAGATGGTTTCAAGTTTCAACTTTGAAGTCTTTCTTCCAAAGAAAAGAAGGTGGTCAACTCTAATACTCTCACATGAAAACCTAGTTTGCTTTAGTTAGAAATAGGTTGGTTCTGTTAATGTTGGCGGATCATATAAAAAAAAGCGCTCATTTATTCACCTTTTGTTTCTATAATAGTGGATCGCTTGTAAGGGATATACTAATGAGCAGGCCAATGAGTGATGTTTGATGGAAACATGTTATCCTGTTTTGGTTATAAATTTGAAGCTAAGTAATTAGTTATTATCTTTTGTGTATTATGCTAAGGAATGCTGTGAAATTGTTTAAGGTTCGTTCAAAGATAAAGCTAAGCGCCTTCTCGTGCTACTGTTTCAAAGTCAATCTGTCCTATCTTTCTATTTGTAACTGTGGTTAGTTCTTTGGTGCTGGAAATGATGTACTTTCTGTTATTGTTAACCTCTTTGCAGGTCAAGGCTTTGCCACGGGAAGAATAAACCTAGGAGGATTAGAAGTGGCGAAAATCACTAAGTTCCATAAAGTTTGGAGCTCTGATTCATCGCACGGAAAATCAAAACGTGCAACATTTTACAGAGCCGATGAAGTTCCAGAAGGTTTCCACTGCCTTGGTCACTATTGCCAGCCAACCGATCAGCCCTTGAGAGGTTATGTACTTGCAGCTCGGGCTAGCAAACCCGTCAATGCTGATGATGACCTCCCGCCCCTGAAAAAGCCTCTGAGTTATTCTTTAGTTTGGAGTACAGATTCAGAGAAAAATGGCAGTGGCTATTTCTGGCTACCTAATCCTCCGGTTGGCTACAAAGCAGTGGGAGTTGTTGTAACCGATGAACCAGAGGAACCTGAAACAGAGGAGGTTAGATGTGTAAGAGAGGATCTTACAGAGAGTTGTGAAACCTCTGAGATAATACTTGAGGTTGGTTCTTCAAAGAAGTCGAACCACTCTGATTCTCCTTTTAGTGTATGGAGCATCCTACCTTGCGAGAGAGGGATGCGGTCACAAGGTGTAGCTGTTGGCTCATTCTTTTGCTGCACTTATGATCTGTCGTCTGGTAGAACGGTCCGTGACATTGCATGCTTAAAGAATCTTGATCATACCTTACACGCGATGCCAAATCTCGACCAGGTCCACGCGGTTATCGAACACTACGGACCAACAGTCTACTTCCACCCGGAAGAGACTTACATGCCTTCCTCTGTTTCATGGTTTTTCAAAAATGGAGCTTTGTTATATCGGTCAGGGAAATCGCAAGGAGAACCGATTAACTCCACAGGCTCGAACTTGCCTGTTGGAGGGTGTAATGATATGGAGTTCTGGATAGATCTTCCCAAAGACGAAGAAGCAAAGAGTAATCTAAAGAAAGGAAACCTAGAAAGCTCTGAGCTTTACGTTCATGTAAAACCAGCACTTGGTGGAACATTCACCGACATAGTGATGTGGATTTTTTGCCCCTTTAACGGCCCGGCCACACTCAAAATCGGGCTGTTCACTTTACCTATGACCCGAATAGGAGAACACGTAGGTGATTGGGAACATTTCACTTTCCGAGTATGCAATTTCTCTGGTGAGCTTTGGCAAATGTTCTTCTCTCAGCATAGTGGCGGTGGTTGGGTTGATGCGTCAGATATTGAGTTTGTTGAAGGCAACAAAGCGGCTGTGTACTCATCGAAACACGGCCATGCTAGCTTCCCTCACCCAGGAATGTATCTCCAAGGCTCGTCCAAGCTCGGGATTGGAGTGAGGAACGACGTTGCGAAAAGTAAGTACATTTTGGATTCTAGCCAAAGGTATGTGATTGTAGCAGCTGAGTATTTAGGTAAAGACGCTGTGGCTGAGCCGTGCTGGTTACAGTATATGAGAGAATGGGGTCCAATCATAGCCTATGATTCAGGGTCTGAGATCAATAAGATCATGAATCTTCTTCCTTTGGTTGTTAGGTTCTCTATCGAGAACATTGTAGATTTGTTTCCCATTGCTCTTTATGGAGAAGAAGGCCCCACTGGACCAAAGGAGAAGGATAACTGGGAGGGAGATGAGTTATGTTGAAAGAAGAAAGCTTCTTTTTGAAGAAAAGATACCGAGTTCTAAGTTTCCATTGTTTGTTTGTTCATGGAAGTTTCACATGAAACTTCAGTTAAAAAAAAAACAAAATCTACCAAAAAGGTTTCATTTTGTTAAAATTTAATTTCTACATTTACTTTTCTAAAGTGTTTGTGTAAATTGATGGTAATGTGCATGGATTGACATAACAACTCTTGGATATCCACTATTCAGTTAATGTGTTATGGTTTCAGTCTATCAGATATTAATTTTAGAAAATTGAACAATGATATTTTAGTTATTAAGAGAAAGATTTTGCTACTTTCGACTACATTTTCGTGCTGTTAGTAGAAGTGCTACTTTCATAACCGCTAAGTAAGCGTTAACCAATGAGGAATACATCCTATTTAATAGGTCTTGATTGTTGTGTAATCATTGAATGTAGCAATGAATGAATTTGATCCGTTGAATAACGAAAGTATCACTACTTGGGTTTTTCTTATAGGAACAAAATATTCACAACTTTATAAGTTTAATTGAATATCAATTGCTTTCTTCAGACGATAAACACAACTGCTTAACATGAAGGTATCTATATTGATATAACGTTGTCACTTGTTAGGCCATTGAACTGCTTCATAGAACAGAATCTCTGGTCGAACCTTCCTTTCTTTACAGAATCTGACTACACTCTTCCATGTACCAACAGCCTGTGGCATCACCACATATATCAATAGTGTCTAAGTTCACATTTCAATTCAAGAAAGACAAATTCAAATGTTTCGTCTTACCTCTTTCGCTAAAGCTTCATGTCTGAAACTGACCCATCGGTTCTTTTTATAAGCTAGGCAGGTGTATTCTTCTTCTTCACCACAACCAACCTGCGTTACATATGCTGATAATGTAACAGAGAAATACAGAAGAACAAACTTGACAAACATTTGTGACATTTTTTTCGATTATACCATTGAAACAAGCCGGTACTTTGTGTTTGGTTTTAAGCCCTCGTATAGCCTGCTGATATCCATCTCCCATTCCAAAGCCTTTGTTGTTTCGTATATTTCCTTTTCACTTTCATTCTTCTCCCATTCCAAAACTATATTACAAACCCATGAAACATCAACATTGTCTTATCATAGCATACAGGTGGAATGAGTAGACAAGATCACAATCATGGTTACAGCTTACCGATTGTGAAGATAGGGGGGCATCTACTTATAATGTGATGGACAAAGTTTGCCTCTCCACAGCCTTCTGTTTTAATATCACAGAACAGTTTCTCTTCCATGCGGATCACCTTAAGGATGTCCTCAAGCTTTAAATTCCCAAAAGCACACTGTATGTATAACCACAGAACAATTTTTTAAACCAGTTTCTGTAGGAAAGACAAAGAGGGAAATAAATGACACATACCTTCAATTCTCTGATTGAATCTGCAGCCATAACAATGCCATAAGAACTTTGCTCTGGATAATTTGTACTCCTTCTGCACTTGCTACAACTCATTCTTTCATATTCTTCCAGTGTAAAAAGACGTGTTACGACGCTATCTATATCTGGATTTTTCCAGCAAGGCCAAAACTCAAGGATAGATACAAGCAGCTCAGCAGCATCACTTGACTGAAAAGAGTAAAAACCAGAATGACATTTAACACAACAATCAAGAAACCTAGAAGCTTATATTTATCCGCACAAACCATGGAATGAACTTCTTCTAGGGAAGCAAGTAAGTCTCCCAGGAGGCAACTGTACAGTCCCTCTACTTTTATATGCTTCCAGGCAAAAGCAGAAAAGAAACTTCGTAGTGCATAAGGAAAATCTTCTTCTGGGTTTTCAGCAAATTGATGCCGATTGTGCACCAAATACTCTTTAAGAACCTTAATGTTACAAAGGGCCTGCAGTAGCAGCACATTTTATCAGAGGAAATAAGGATGTAAAGAGAAAAAACATGCAGATAGAGAATAAGCTGAATCAGTAGAAGAAGTTTAGGTTTTGAATGTTATGTTTGTTGGTGCCTGCTTTACCTTTAGTGTCATTTCAAGAGCTGAATTGTATCTGGTTGCAGCTGCTCCATGTGCTGACTCCAAATGTTTCGACAGTGAATCTTCTTCAAGCATATTTTGCATATTTTGCATATCTTGAAGATGGCAGGTTAAAGAAATAAGAATTGTACATCTCAAAAGAAAGTAGTTTAGAAGATTTGTAAGCTCTTTTACAACCAGGGTCACCTTTAACAGCTTCCTCTTGGTTGTCAGTGTTGGATGAAATATCCAATCGACCCCTTTCACCTGAAAGAGTATCTTCTGGTTCCATAGAGCATTCTTCCGTCGTTTTTGGTGATGGAGAAGTAACTCCCGGTTCAAGATTGACAGGAGATTCACTAGAAATATGTAAGACACATTGTACTCTAAGAAAACCTTCAAATAATATATCAAGTTGCGAAAATACTCTTGCGAAACCAAATTTCTCGTTTAGAGAAGAGGAACTTACTGTTCGACATTCTGCTCAAGAACACTAGACATGCTCGTTGAAGTTCTCTGTTATGCAATGAAGATCATTTATACAACTGAGTAACCGAAAAAGTCAGACAAACAAATAGAGAATTTAGATCTTCAATAACCTTGATGCTTTTATGTTTCTTCTTCTTTGACCCTGAGTAGTTCTCCTTCTCTCGTTTTTTCCCGGATAAAAGATCTGCTTCTGCTGCAGCTACCGTGGCGATGAGATCCATATTTACAACTACATCTAACTCTTCCTACAAGAAGAGACATAAATCATAACATAAGTTACCTTTTAAAGAATAAAACAGAGCGAAGATGAAAGCTCTATGTATAAAACCAAAGTTTCAAACCAACCCGCAGGAAACGTTTGAGCAGGTGAAGGATATAAGACCGGTGGTCAAAAACAGAAAGCCTGGTGATGTCGTTTAGCAAACTAATCCTTGACTTTTCAACCAGCAAAATCTTTGAATCTACTAGCGGAACCTGCAAGGCAATAGATACTTTACATTAACAATTTACGTATGTTGTTCAATTGTTTATTAAAACTCAGAACAGGAAGGAACCTTGTTGGTGACCACAGATTCCAGACGGTCTATAGACTTTAACACTATATCATCACTGAGAATTTTATGCCCATGTATAAGATTCAGGCAATCTTCTAGATCGGGAAAATCAAATGTCAGATGCGATGCTCCTTCGAGAATATCTTGAACTGCACACAAGAATAGTATTGCGTGGGGAGAATCTCCTCCCTCTGTCGTTAATTGGTCTTCACATTTATCACCCAGAAGAGATGCATAAGCGTTCCACTGATCTTCCGGAACAATCCTTCTCCTTTCATCTTCGTGCATACACAAGTTCTTGGCGTCAATAAGAGCTCTTTGATAACCTAGGATCTCCAACTTCTTTGCATATTTGGTTCCCAAAGTCCTACACGTAAAGTTAATGGCTCTCAGAACAGCCACCCATATATCAAGATTGTGTGCCCTGATAGATCTGGGAAATTCAAAGCTCTCATCTATTAAAGGGTAGTCAAGCAACCAGGTTATGATATCATCGCCCTGAGGATGTGTCTTGGCGTAGTAAACATTCTGATCACAAATATCTACTGTCCCTTCATCATCGAATGAAGCAATCTTGCCTCTCAGCAGTCTTTTATCCAGAAGCATACACGAAAACTGGTGGTCAAAATCCATCTTTTCTTTTACTCGAATACAACCCCATAAACTGTCCACTGCTCTGCAAATCAGATTTGTACCATCATCCCTTTCACACTTGATGAGTTTGAGTAGGTCCAGAATTTGGTTGAGTTCATCAGATTCCAAAAAGCATATACCCTGAGGTGTTTCCAATAGGCGACACTCGGTAGTAATAGTATGCTCGGAAACTTCAAATTGTACAAGATGCTTAATCAGAAATCTCATCATCCAGTCTCGGATGCTACAAGAAAGAATCTTACTCTCCCAAAATGACACAAGGAGCAATCGGATTTCCTTGAGTAACTTACTGCGTTCTTCATTTGCAGCTAAAGGCCAGTCTTTGGACCATCCATTCTCATAGACAAACTCTTTCACAGATTCAAGCCGAGTCTTAATCATTTCAGCGGCAGCTACTGCATCCACTGGATCCCAACCTGCAACCGATATCATACCAGCCCACACTTCATCTACCCTCTGAGCCATATGCTTTGTCGTCGAAGGTTTAAATTTTGCAGCGTGCTCTTGTTCAAGATGATTCTTAAACTTTTTCGGATAAAAGAACTTCTGTGAACAAGTTCGACACATCCAAAATTTCCATTTCCTGTTTATCCTAGCAGAATTCAAAACTTGCTCCAAAGCATCTTGTCCCTCTTTGCCGTATTCTCGCTCTACGTAACTTGTAAGCTTCGCAATGCTTACTTTAAGAAAGTTCCGTTTATCCTCAACATTCATACCCGCCCAAAATGACCTCAATCTTTGACCTTCAGCGTTATTCGAGTCACTCCTAATCGTGTCTCGAACTTCTTTTGACTCCGTAAGTGTTGGCTCAGATTTTTTTCCTGTAGGACCAGTGAGTATCTTCAACTGTGATGCGTTGATTATATTCGCAAGTGAAGTTTTTGTGCTTTCCTCGACCGAGCTCAATTGATCACACGCATCCAGAAAAGATAAACTCTCTTTTGCATATTTCACGGCTTTCTTGAAATACAATGCTGAGTCAAGCTGGTTGGCCATATCGAACAATGCAGTTGCAGAGAAGGCGTGAATCCCACAATCTTCCGCAAAGGATTCTACAGAACTCAGCAAAAACGCGAACTTGACGTCACTACTCCGTGCTCTACTCGCTAGGTTAAACAAGATAGAACCTTCGAGAAAATGGATCATTCCTGGAAGATTTTGTTTCCCACGACGGATTGAAATCGAATCTTCAATTACCTCCAAGGCCTTGATGTGATTTCCTTGAGCGAAGTAACCTTGGGCAAGTGTGTGGAGCTGAGAATCCTCCTTGGCATCTTTGAAGAAAGAATCCATGGTTGGAGAAGACAATACGCAGTAACGATTCTCAAGGCTTCTCTCGATTTCTTGGTCTCGACTCTCGACGGTTATTTCGCTTCAGGTAGAAGAAAGAAACTTGTTAACGACTTTTTCTTTGCGAGGGAGAAAAAATAACGACAAAAATGTTGAACCTTTATCACGTGAGAGGTCCACGTGACGATAGAAGACGAGCAGCTTCCTCTTTCACGAACAACTCTCTCCTCCATATCCATTGAGAAGATCTATCGAACACCTTGTGTGCGTTCCACGTTTTAAGTAAATCACACAACTGCTTCGATTTAATTTTCGAATTAAGAACGGAAAGTTAGGAGTAGAATTGTATTAGATTTTTTTTTCCCGGAATATAGAGTGAGCAAATAAACGGAGAAAAAAAGTGATCTTGTTGCAGTTGTTCTGAGTTTTCCGACCAGAGAAAACGAAAATACATATGATCTGAGCATTTCGGTTTTCTTCAAACCAGAAGACTTAACCGCTAATTTATCGTCTTCTTCTTCCGGTTTTGTATAGAAAATGGGTTATTGTTATTCGATTTTGGTTATCGGTTTACTATTGTGTAAATATTGAAAACCTGAACCGTTCTCTCTATCTACTTCTGATAAACCTCTCCCTCGATTTTTCCTTCTTACTGCTTCAGTGCTTTCTTTCACTCTCGTCGTCAGTTGCAATTCAAAATCCGGCGACTAGCCGGAGGAATTATCAATCAAAGCCATATCGAGCTCCTGCAATGGAATTCATGACATGGTCTTCGTTTTGTCGTTGATTTTTTTTTCACTTGGGCGGTATTGCTGCGATGGATTTCATTTCCGCTTCTTCCATCTCTTCACCCTTTTTCACACGGCTGTCTCCGCTTTCTCTCAGCCCAGGTCTAGTATCGTTAAAACCTAGATATCGGGTCAATAATCGGAGATTTGGGTCTAGAGAATCCAAGAAATCTAGGAAAATTGTGCCCATTAGAGGCTGTTTTGGTTGCTCCGGCGTACATGGGAGCTTTGTAAGCTCGAGCCAGCCTGAAGATGGGAGTAAAGTTGTTTCGGAATCACTGAGGCTATGTACAGAGGGAAATGAGCTTGTGCCATTGTCTGGGTATAGCGCGAAGACGAGAAAGAGTCTAATAGAGTTTTTGTCGAAGCCTTTAGTTCACGCATTGTTTTGTATTGCAATTGGGTTTTCACCAATTCAATCGTTTCAAGCTCCAGCTTTAGCTGTGCCCTTCCTCAGTGATGTGATATGGAAGAAAAAGAAAGAGACGATTAGAGAAAAAGAGCTGGTTTTGAAAACAGCTGATCATGAGTTCTCGGGTTATACTCGGAGACTGTTGGAGACAGTCTCGGTTCTACTCAAGAGTATTGACAAGGTCAGAAATGAAAATGGAGATGCTGCTGAAGTGGGAACGGCCTTGGATGCAGTGAAGGTTGAGAGTGAGAAATTGCAGAAAGAGATAATGAATGGATTATATAGTGATATGAGGCGGTCGAGGAAAGAGAGAGATGCGTTAATGAAACGAACCGATGGAATTGTAGATGAGGCCCTAAGACTGAAGAAAGAGAGTGAAAAACTGTTGAGAAAAGGTGATAGGGAGAAAGTGGAGAAATTGGAACAGAGGGTGGATATAATTGAGAGCGAGTACAACAAGATATGGGAGAGAATAGATGAGATTGATGATGTCATTTTAAAGAAAGAGACAACAACTTTGAGTTTTGGTGTTAGGGAGCTTATGTTCATTGAAAGAGAGTGTGGAGAGTTGGTTAAGAGCTTCAACCGAGAAATGAAGCAAAAAAGTTTTGAAAGGTGATATGTCTAGCCATGATTTTGTCTGGAGAAAATACTATTCCGCCTTACCTTTAACTGTCAATTGGGTTACCCGTTAATGAGAGAAAGCTTATTGCGTGCACTTCTAATGGTGGTGGTAGAAGCCAGATCTAGATTATAAAATTCATCTTTTTTATACTCTTACGCTTATTTTTAGTGTATCTTTTGTTGGCTTTTCTATATGTCTTTGTCATGTATATGCTTTCTGTTTTTCTCGCTGACAAATATGTTTCATGTTTCACTTACACGATCAATTGATTTTCTGGCTGTAGTACTCCTGAAAGCTCCATTACGAAACTCCCGAGGTCGGAGATTAAGCAGGAATTGTTGAATGCTCAAAGAAAGCACTTGGAACAAATGATATTGCCTAATGTTTTGGAACTAGAGGAGGTTGATCCCTTGTTCGATCGTGATTCAGTGGATTTTTCTCTACGCATAAAAAAACGCCTTGAGGAATCGAAAAAGCTGCAGAAAGATCTTCAGGATCGTATCCGAGGACGTATGAAAAAGTTTGGTGAAGAAAAGATTTTTGTGGTTAAAACTCCAGAAGGTGAAGCTGTCAAGGGCTTCCCTGAAACTGAGGTGAAATGGATGTTTGGAGAGAAGGAGGTGGTTGTTCCGAAAGCTATCCAGCTCCATCTTCGCCATGGTTGGAAAAAGTGGCAAGAAGAAGCAAAGGCAGATTTGAAACAGAAACTTTTAGAAGATGTTGATTTTGGTAAACAATATATTGCGCAGAGACAGGTAACTTTTGGCTTATTATATGAAAAATTTACTAAACCAAATATACTTGGTTTGTTTATTATGGTGGATGTATTTCCTGTGAAGAACGGAAAATGCTCTATATTTTTCGTGGTAGATAAATCAGGATGGTGAGTTAGCATGACTAACTGATACATTTGTATTTTTTTGGTGATGGAAACCTCAAGAATTGCCTTGGTTTTGGTAGATTCTGTTTTATTGCATACCTAAGTTCATGTGTTATCTAATCACAGGCTATTAGGTAAATCAGTTTACTTGGGCAAGCAAGAAGCACTCTTTTTTTTTTTATAATTTACACCACTGATTGGATATTTTTACTGTTTGATCTTTGTGGAACTGAGGTTATTGCTGTAATGCTTAAGGTAAGAAAGTTTTAGTTGGAACCTTGTTGTAAAGTTTATGTACATCTGTGTGTTTTGCGGAGCTTATTTGCACATGTATTGATTCACCAATTAGTTACTGATTTTTTTTTTATCTGAAGGAACAAGTTCTCCTAGATCGAGATAGAGTTGTTTCAAAGACTTGGTATAATGAAGACAAAGATAGGTGGGAGATGGACCATATGGCTGTTCCATATGCAGTTTCCAGGAAACTGATTGACAGTGCCAGGCTTAGGCATGATTATGCTGTAATGTATGTTGCACTAAAAGGAGATGACAAGGAGTATTACGTTGACCTCAAGGTTGACCAGTTAAAGTCCTGATTTATTTGATGGATCTTTAATATTATAGGCTGCTAACTCTTTTCTATGGTTGTAGGAATATGAGATGCAATTTGAGAAATTTGGAGGGGTTGATGCTCTATACCTCAAAATGCTTGCTTGTGGAATCCCAACTTCTGTCCATCTGATGTGGATACCCATGTCAGAGCTAAGTCTTCAGCAACAGTTTCTGTTGATTACAAGGGTGGTTTCTCGACTCTATACCGCATTGACAAAGACTCAACTTGTATCACATGCGAAGGATATTCTGTTAGAGAGAATAAGGAATATAAACGATGACATTATGATGGCGGTCGTGTTTCCAGCCATCGAATTTATCATTCCTTACCAGGTATTACTTTACTCTCTCTGGATTTTTTCTTCCTGTTTTCTTGAGTCTATTTTGTCTTCTTTAAAATATCTGGCTTATTTCTGACACAGTTAAGGCTGCGTCTGGGAATGGCTTGGCCGGAAGAAATAGATCAGGCTGTTGGCTCAACATGGTACTTGCAATGGCAGTCTGAGGCAGAAATGAACTTCAAGACCCGCAATACAGAAAATTTTCAGTGGTTCGTCTGGTTTCTAATTCGAAGCTTTGTGTACGGGTTTGTTTTGTATCATGTTTTCCGCTTTCTGAAAAGAAAGGTTCCAAGAGTTCTTGGCTATGGACCCTTCCGTCGTGATCCAAACGTGCGAAAATTCTGGAGAGTGGTATGCAACTTTCCTTTTTCCCTATGCTTCTCTTTCCAACGCTATCAAATTTTTAATGAGCAGTAGTATTGTAGCTAGTATTCCACCGATCATGTTTGTTGATCATTCAGGTTCCTTACAGTTACAATTGATTACGAAAATGTTTTATTTGTGTTGCAGAAATCATATTTTACTTATAGAAGAAGGCGAATAAAACAAAAGAGAAGAGCTGGAATCGACCCCATAAAAACTGCTTTCGATAGAATGAAGAGAGTGAAAAATCCACCTATTGCGTTAAAAAACTTTGCAAGTATTGAGTCTATGAGAGAAGAAATCAACGAGGTCGTGGCATTTTTACAGAATCCAAAGGCATTTCAGGAGATGGGTGCCCGTGCACCTCGGGTATGTTGCTTTACAGTCGTGTGCCTACTATGTAGGATAGTGTTCCAACTGTAAGCAGAATTAATTCGTAGGAAGTGCTTATTCACATTGCAGGGAGTTCTTATTGTGGGTGAGAGAGGAACGGGAAAAACGTCACTGGCGCTTGCTATAGCAGCCGAAGCAAGAGTACCTGTCGTCAATGTTGAAGCTCAAGAGTTGGAGGCTGGACTATGGGTTGGTCAAAGTGCAGCGAATGTCAGGGAACTTTTTCAAACTGCAAGAGACTTGGTTAGCTGCTTTGCCCCAAATTGTTTTGTTGATTCATCAATTTCATAGATATTAACTTTCGAGTTCTCATCATAATCATTCATGCCATCTTATGTTCTGATGTTTACTGTGATAACTAGGCACCTGTTATCATATTTGTGGAGGATTTTGACCTCTTTGCTGGTGTACGTGGGAAGTTCATACATACAAAACAGCAAGATCATGAATCTTTTATAAATCAGCTTCTTGTTGAACTTGATGGGTAAGAGCCAATTTCTTGGTTGATTAAAACTTAAGACCATATTTGTAGGGGTTTTTCAAAGTATCGCCTATAGTGGAATAGGAATTGCTGCTTTAGGCCCAAGTAGCTTCTCCTTTTTCCCTGTTGATATTTCTGATGCCATTCCAATTTATAATTTCTACTTATGCAGCTTTGAGAAACAGGATGGTGTAGTTTTAATGGCTACAACACGAAATCATAAGCAAATTGATGAGGCGTTAAGAAGGCCAGGTCGAATGGATAGAATATTCCACCTTCAAAGTCCAACTGAAATGGAAAGGGAGAGAATTTTACACAATGCAGCTGAAGAAACCATGGACAGAGAACTCATTGATCTAGTGGATTGGCGTAAGGTGATCTTAAGCTGTGCCAGCGATTATATATGTTTAACCTGCTATTTGATTTATTTTGCACCTTCAAAGTTATGGTCATTTCTATTTTGCTTGTGAGTGCTCTATCACGTCGTGTTTCTTCTTTCTTGCTCTATCTCCTATATCTCTTCCTGGTTCTGTATTTTCTGGTTCCACTATCTCGGTTAGTTAATAGTTAATGGTTGCAGGTTTCGGAAAAGACATCTTTATTACGGCCGATAGAACTGAAACTTGTTCCAATGGCTCTCGAAAGTAGTGCCTTCAGGAGCAAATTTCTGGACACAGATGAACTTCTGAGTTATGTTAGCTGGTTTGCAGTAAGCAATCTGTAGCACCTTCGCCTTTTGTCAAACCATCTTTGTTCATTTCTATGGTTGGTTTCATGAGGTGATTTCTTTCTCTTTTATGACAGACGTTTAGCCATATAGTGCCCCCATGGTTGCGGAAAACTAAAGTTGTGAAGTCGATGAGCAAAATGCTTGTGAATCATCTTGGACTCAACTTAACCAAAGAAGATTTGGAGAATGTGGTTGATTTGATGGAACCATATGGACAGATCAGCAATGGAATAGAACTTTTGAACCCTCCTGTTGATTGGACGAGGGAGACAAAGTTCCCGCATGCTGTTTGGGCTGCTGGTCGTGCTCTAATCGCTCTTCTAATACCAAACTTCGATGTTGTAGACAATTTGTGGCTTGAGCCTAGTTCCTGGGAAGGAATTGGGTGTACAAAAATCACCAAGGTCACAAGTGGGGGCTCGGCAAGTGGGAATACGGAATCAAGATCATATCTTGAAAAGAAGCTCGTTTTCTGCTTTGGATCTCACATTGCGTCCCAAATGCTTCTTCCTCCCGGAGAAGAAAATTATCTTTCATCTTCAGAAATAACGCAAGCGCAAGAGGTAAACTCTTTCTACTCCCTTCCTGGTGTCTACAGACTTCATGTTTCCTCGCCCTATAATTATTATTTTCGGCTTTCGACAGATTGCAACACGCATGGTGCTTCAATATGGCTGGGGACCCGACGACAGTCCTGCAGTATACTATGCCACCAACGCGGTAATCGTCGTTCTTATATTCGTCATTGGTAGTTCTTTCCAAGATTTATGTCTGTAACCACTGAATACATTTTAACATTGATGATTCGATCTTACAGTTTCCATTCATTCTGATGTCTCGTCTGATCATTTGAGTGACTTGATACATTTTTATTCTATTTTTTTTTCTTTGATTGAATTGAGCAGGTTTCAGCTTTAAGTATGGGGAACCATCATGAATATGAAATGGCCAGTAAAGTCGAAAAGGTTCGTTTTGATCTCTAGTTTCCAATACTTTCATTATGTCTGCCATGTCTGTGTTCTCTCTCTAGCCTTTAACAGTTTTCTTTCACCTTCCCATTTCAATTTGTTCAAGCATTTTCCAAGGCTAAATGTAGAACTTGTCTAATCTCATCTTATTCCTCCACAGATTTATGACTTAGCGTACGAGAAGGCAAAGGGAATGCTCCTTAAAAATCGCCGTGTCCTTGAGAAAATCACTGAGGAGCTACTCGAATTTGAGATCTTGACTCAAAAGGTAAAATCTTCACGATGTTGGGACCATTGTGCAACTGAATACTAGACTGAAGGATGTTGCAGAAAAAAAGAATCTTATCATTTTGGTTTCCTCGTTTGGTTTGCAGGATTTAGAAAGACTTGTTCATGAGAATGGCGGGATTCGGGAAAAGGAACCTTTCTTTCTCTCTGGAACCAGTTACAACGAGGCAAGTATTACAACCATCAATCCATATCATTATTCGAAAAAGCAAAAAACTTAACCTGAATTAAAAAGTTGAAAAGCTTGAACCATTTCTATAGGTCAGTCACATTGCCTTAATTAGAAATGGAATGGCATGTGTTTAAAAACTTGTATCTTTATTTTGTGTGGTTTTCTCCTGTTGCAGCCATTGTCAAGGAGCTTCCTTGATGCTGGAGATTCGCCGGAATCTGTACTTCTGAGTGCACCAACCTAAAAAAAGCCATGAAATATGATTCCATACGTTGATGATAGAGTTTCTTGCAGATGCAGGAGTGAAATTTCTTGCTGATTGCAAATTTTGTTCTTGTGTTCACCAGATGAGATTAGTTTAGTTTGCCAAGTTTGAGACTAGAGATTCATATATACATCTTGTCAACTATAAAACAACTGAAAGTTTCCTTGTCCTATTATTCGACTATATGTCTGTTATTCTTACTGTTTGTTTATAATAATAAAGTTATCCGTGGTGATTTCATTTTATCAGTGCTTCCACTAATTTTATTTAAACACTATGTATAAACGTCATGCAACAGAATGCAAGTTTTCATTGCAAGTTTGTTGTTGAATAAGTGATCGTATCAAAAGGAGAGAGTCCATGTACTTGAGGTTTTGAAGGATTTTTGAATTGATGTTAGAGTAATCCTTTTTCTTCTCGTGTCTGTGAAGTGAAACTTTGCAACTAATGCTAAAAGAATGATTTTTCTTTGGAGGCTCATTGTTTCAGGCATTGTGAGCACTACTTTGTAACCTCTAGCTCCCCCCACAAACGCCAAACCAATCACCAAGACTTGGACTTTTAGTGTGTTCTGAAGTAAATCACCAAGACTTGGACTTTTAGTCTGATTTTAGTGCCTGTTCAACATTTCCGGGAGTAATGAATCCCTTGTCTTCTGCATCTTTAATCATACCATAAGCAATCCTTTCAAGTGGAAGATCATATTCAACCAAAGAAAAGCTTCTACCTCAGGATACAAAAAGGAACAAATATGTCTTAGGAGCAATTTATACAAAAATACTGTTCAGTTCAGTTTATACAATATTCTTTCGGTTCAAATCATCATCCTCCAGCTTCAGCTTGGAAATCTTGTCCATGGCGTTTTGGCTGATATGTGAATATTTTCTTCATCAGAAACAAGAATATTCTTGTAGGCGTAGAGCAAAACGGAAACAACCGATCTTGAAATAAAAACAGGTCAAACACACAGAGTCAGAGAAGAAAAGAAAAAAAGCAAAACGACAACTCATAACAAATAAAACGCAAACGATATAAAGTGATGTTAATAATATAGAGCTAGCAACATGTCTACTATTTGCTCAAAATAAGCACCAAAACGACAATCTCACATAACGTAAAACGCAGCCTACTCGCTCACTTTTAAATTTTGGCCAAAAATGAGCAAAATCGATGGACTACTATTTGCTCAAAATAAGCACCCACGAATTAGGCCTAACGCGCGCAACGTGCACCAGGTGCGAGTGGGTATGAAATATGTCTTTTCATGCGCGTGGCGTCACGCTTTCTGACTTGCACTGGGATTTTTTTTTTTTTTTTATCGTCCACTTCATTACCCCAAGGCTTCTGATTAAATCCTGGAAAAAAAAAGAATTTTCATATTTTCAAAAGAAGTTAAGAAACAAATACAGATCAACGACAACAAAGCCAATGAAGGAAGAAACAAAAAGCATCAAATCGATTTCAACGTTTATATAAAAGCCTGAGCTTTCATTCAAACTTTTCCTCTCGGGAAAATCGGTGGCAAGTGAAGTAAATAGATCCGAACCCATGGTGAAACTCGAGAGTTTCTGGGTTATCATCATCCTCTTATCAATCCAATTCAAGGGTTCGTTTGGATCCGAATCAACTAAGGAAGCTTACGTCACACTTTTGTACGGAGATGAGTTCTTATTGGGAGTTAGAGTATTGGGTAAATCGATTCGAGACACCGGATCATCTAACAAGGATATGGTCGTTTTGGTCTCTGATGGTGTTTCCGACTACTCTAAGTTGCTGCTTAAGGTATGCTTTTTCTTGTGGATTCTCATTTCTACAACCTTAATATTCCTGGAAAGGTCTTAAGAAAGAAAAAGGCTTTCATTTCCGCTGTAGATTATAATAAAGTGATTCTGATTTTTGAGTCGTTACTTATCATTCCTTATCATTTGAGCTGAATCTGTTTCATTGCGATGCTTGCTTGTGTTGTATTAAAGGATAGATTTTGATTATGCAGGCCGATGGATGGAGAGTAGAAAATATTACTTTGCTAGCAAATCCAAACCAAGTTCATCCCAAGAGATTCTGGGGTGTCTATACAAAGCTTAAAATTTTTAACATGACTGATTACAAGAAAGGTAAGTGTTAATTAGTGTTTCTTTTTTTGCAATCCTAGAGCTTTTTCTCATGTTTTATGCTTATGTTTCTTTTTAATTGTTAAATATTTAATATGTCGTGTTTCTTTTTAATTTTTGACAGTTGTGTATCTCGATGCTGATACTATTGTGGTAAAGAACATTGAGGATCTATTTAAGTGCTCCAAGTTTTGCGCTAACTTGAAGCATTCTGAGAGGCTGAACTCTGGAGTCATGGTCGTTGAACCCTCTGAAGCTTTATTCAGTGATATGATGAAACAAGTGAAGACCTTGTCGTCTTATACCGGGGGAGATCAAGGGTTCTTAAATTCCTATTATCCTGATTTCCCGAATGCTCGTGTTTTTGATCCTAGTTTATCCCCTGAGGTCATGAAAACAAGACCAGCTCCTAAAATGGAGAGGCTCTCTACGTTATACAACGCAGATGTCGGTCTTTATATGCTTGCTAACAAGGTAATTGCAATTTCAAGTTTTGAATCTACACTTATAATTAGTTTAATTTTTAGATATCTTGTGTTATCTTTTGTTCTGTTCCTAAGACAAGTGATGTGATCTGGAATGCATGTGGTGAATTGAGGATTAGTTTTAATTAGTTCAAAATATCTTCTTCATCTAGTTTCAATCTAGAATCTGAAGATTCTCATTATTAATGCAGTGGATGGTCGATGACAGCAAACTTCACATTATTCACTACACTCTGGGTCCTCTGAAGCCTTGGGACTGGTGGACAGCATGGCTCGTGAAACCTGTTGATGCGTGGCATGTAGGTCTTCTTGTCTGTGAATTTGCATTTTTTTTTCTTCTCATTATTTCTGGAAAGTTAAGTTCTTTTGAGTGAGTTTCTTAAGTTGAATTTCACCTGGACAACTGCAGAGCATTAGGGTAAGTCTAGAGGAGACTCTTCCTGGAACTGGAGGTGGAAAAACCCCAAATGATGAATTCATCGTCAAGTTCCTTTTCTTGTTACCACTTTGTTTGCTTTTGTTCTGCCTTTATCGTTCCATACAGGTCAGACTTCTTCTTCTTCGTGTTCCTAACCGTTTCTTTCATCTAAGCTGAATTCATCTCATTTGGATCTCAGTTTCATTTTATATCCTCTGTCTTCTGTTGCAGGGACGTGACTTCTTGGGTTCATTGTGCAGGAACTCTGTATGCAATCAGATCAGACATCTTTATTACAAAGTCAGATCTAATGGAACACTTGGTTATAGTGGTGTGTCGACATTGTCTACCATAAATTCCAACCATCAAGTTAGTTTTTTAGCCCACTTATCTGCCTTTTTTTGCAATCTAAATTCTAAAGAATTCTATCTAATGTTAAAACTTTGTCACTACAGCTCCACACTGGCTCGCACTCTAAGGTTCCTCAATACTTGGGGGCGGTTTCAGTTGTAGTCTGTTTTGTAGCTATTTTGACATCCATTGGAGTTTCCTTTGTGATTGTGCCAAGGCAAATAATGCCATGGACTGGCTTGATTTTGATATATGAGTGGACGTTTACAATCTTCATCCTTTTATATGGTGGCTTTCTACTTCTAGTGTATCAATATGGCAAGAAAATCGCATTTCAAACAGGATCTCTTTCATCGCAAACAGAATCGTCATTGGATGATTCAGGAAAAGGTAATCAATAGATATAGTATTATCTGCAAAAAAAAAGTTAAAAAGTATTTTTCCCACAATTTAGCTCTTCCTCTTTCGCCAATTCTACTCATTCTGTGAGCCATATATATAGCCACAGAGACACTAACTTGTTTGACAAATCAACAGGTCATCAGCGGACAGATGCGTCTTGTGACTTTACGACATGTTATTGTGGATTAGGGATGGCATTTTTGGCTTTTGCTGCCATTTCTTTGCCCTACGTTTTAGGGGTCACCGCTCTATTTTTGAGGTAAATTTTTTGTTTTCAGATTGACAGGAAAATTTTGAATCACTTGCTTATGTTCTTTTTTGGTCTTTCTCTCGTGTCTTGAAGTTGATTGCGTAAACTTTCATTTTGTTTCCTGTAAAGAATGAAACACGTTTCTGGGAATGTGTCTATGTGTTGCTCAGTTTCTTAAACTGTTGTTGATTCATCGAACTCTTTGTCCTTGGATCTGACTGGATTAGGATGGATTTTGTTTTTTCAGTGGTTTATGTACTAACTGGCCGGTTTCTGCTACATATTGACTGAGCAGGTTGGGTCTGATGATAGCCGTAGCAATAGTTATAGTTTCGTTCATGACTTATGCATCAGAGCACCTCGCAATCAGATGGTTCCTCAAAGGTCTAGAAGACCGTGAAACGACGAGAACAAAGTCAAGCTGCTTCCTCTGCTGATATCAGAAGTGTGTCACAATGTATACTCACAACACAACTTATGATCTCTTTATTCTGTGTTATTAGGAAAACCAACTCTGAGTTTTTGTCTTTCTCGTGTTATTATATATCATTGTGCTTTCTAAATGAAACATAATTATTTTGGTCATGTGACGAGAAAAGTCGTGGATAAAGTTGGTTCATTTATCGCGTATTCATTCATGCTGTCACAAGTTTAATTTGATTTTGAAATGAAAGATTACACTAGTGTCCTGTAAACTTTTGATCGTTTTTCATTTTTTGTTTCAAAGAGGTCTTTAAATAAATACTCTTCTGAAGATCAATCATAGATTTCATTTCCTAGATGTTTAAGAAAGTCACCAAAAATCTACAAATGTTTCATCGGCAGTTTCTGGAAATTTATACAAAAGCTGCATTGGGTCCAACCAAAATAATTTCACTGCAATTTTTATTTCTGTTGGTTTGGTATTACCAAGTTATTTTAGTTTCGGTTTTGTTGTCGGTATAATTTAAGGTTCTGTAGATACATTTTTTTTTTGTAGATAATTTAATAGTCTGGTTCAATTCAAAATTATTAGAGGTTCGGTTCGAGGTGGTCAAACAAAAATTGAACTCGGTTTGGTTTAATCTGGTTTCCATTTCTATCACTGTTCTTTAGCAACGAGCGATTTAAAAGCGAGGAGGAACTGTTGTGGAGTGGAGTCGAGTGGATTGCAAAGAATTGTTTCTTCTTTTCCTTCTGAATTTTGTTTGATTCTTTTTATCCATAAAATTATTTAGTTTGTTTATGGCGAAGCTGCTCTATCTTCAGCTTTCTTCTCCTTTTGCTTCACGTTTAGCCGCTGGCTTTAGTCGAAGACACCGTTGTATGAATTGCGAGATTGATCTCTGGCCAAGTATCGTGAGCCGCGATTCCTTCGAGTGCCAAGCTTCTCGTGGTCGGTTCAGATTCCGTGCGGAGGAGGAGCTCTTCCGCGACGAAGGGTTTGGTCGATTTGAGTTTGGGAACAGTAAGAAGAAGAGGCCGTGGTGGTTCGGCGATGATGATGATGACGATGACGATTATGATGATTTGATGAATGACGAAGAAGACTGGAACATGGTTTTTGAGGTATTGTTTCTTGTTTTGGGAAATCTCAAGAATTGTTCTGCTTATTACAATGATAATCTCCTTGAGATTTCATCAGAAAAGTTGCTCACTTTCGATCTATAATGTTTTGTTTTTAGGTATTAGTTCTATATCCAATTTAGAGTTTTGTTCCAATTGCAGGTATTTAGGACTTTAAGCTGGATGCTTGCACCTATCGGCATATCATTGCTTCTTGGAACAGATTCAAACGCGGGTTTAATGGCATTAGCAGTTCCTTTAGTGCAATCCGTGTTTTCCCTTGTGGTTAATAAGGCATTGAGCAGGCCAAACATTAGACCTATGAAAAGAAGCAGAAGAGATACATTTTCAAGACCAAGGAAAGTTAGGCAAGAAGAAAACATGAGAGGTGGTGTGGATAAGGGAGGATACAAGTCATGGATGTTAGGAGATGCTGATGCTAACAGCACAGGTTCTAGGTATGGAGGATGGGATGATCTAGTCAAGCAAAAGGAGATTAGAAATGACAATCCGTCAAACGAGAGTGTTCGTACAAAGCAACAGTTTAAAAGAAAAGCTAGTCAGCGGTGGAGAGTTAAGGAGAAGCCATTGCTCTTGAGGATGCTAATTGCTGCCTTCCCCTTTCTGGGTTCATGGACTAAATTGTTATTTTGACAAGGGGTTTATTCAAAGCCCTTTACAACTTGGAGAAGTACTGGTTTTTTCACGCGAGTCGAGAAAGGACAAGAATTTCTCTCGCTTTTGGTCTTCAGATGAAAGCAATCTTCCTGGAATCCAAAGGTTAGCTTTCAGTTATCTTAGAACTTAGAATACATCTCTTACTTGTGATAACAATGCATATTCTGTAAGTTGAGAATATATGCCTGTCAAGGTTTTGTGTTTGTATAAGTACAAAAGTGTAATGGTTCTTATTTGTACAGCCTATATAGTGTCTTCATTTGTTTAATCAGCACCAATAATTGGTGAGTACCAGATGCCCCTGCTACTATACGTGAGATTTGGTAGTGCATTCGCTACTACTTTATCTAGTCAGGGAGCAATACTGCTCAAATATATGCTTTCACATTTGCTTGTTTCACATGTTATTTTAAATAATTCAAAGGCTTCATTAATATGTTTTTCTTAGTGGAAGTAACCATTGGTCTCATGATAAGAATCTTTGGTAAACAGCTTTTCAGAATAAAGAACAATATTTATTGGGAGTCCTTCAGATAGCAAGTTTCTTTAGAACGAAACAGGAATTCTTATCTGTGATGAAAAAAGATACAGTAAACTCTTAAACTATATTTTATTAGCCTTCATTGAATTACTCAGATTGTAGTAAAAAATGAGTTAAGCAGTTTGGTTACTTCAAACTAAGTTTCAGAAGCATAGGAATACATTTACTCCGATGTGCAGAAAACTCCTTACCTTAGTCTCGTTGAACTAGTTAAGATTTTTTCCCTGAGGATGTTGTAGTACTGATGGTGTGCCCATAAACGCGTGATTTGCTTTTAGAGCTAGGGATTTGTATCTGTTGTCTGGATAAATATGAAACGTATGTAGGAATATGCCCTTTGTTCTCTGACAAAGTGACAAGAAAATAAGTTACATCTGACAACAGAATCTAGGAGGCGCTTTGAACATATCCTAAGCAATGTTTTCTTGGTTTCTCTTCTATAATTGATTTATATAGTCTTATGATTCGTGGTGGTAAAGACTAACCCAAGACTAGATCGTAAGTAAGAAAGATTATGGAGAAGTAGGAGGATCGAACTTGTAGTGCTTGTCGACGAAAAGTGATACGTCCCAAGTGCAGCTAAGTCCCTTGGGAATGGTCACAAGGTCTCCTGCACCAAACTCCACAAAGTCTGATGACCCTTTTGAATACACCTTCACCTTTCCCTTCACCAAATAGCATGTCTCTCTTTCTTCAAAGACTAATGCATATTTCCCCGGCTGACAAGACCATCTATTTATCAAAGAGATTCGTCATGTTATTACCAATCAAATGAGGAAATGGAGATAAGAAAAGTCTATGTGGTAGTTGTGTTAGGAATAGAGCGTGTGCATGTTGATACTTACTTTGGCCATGACATGACTCCAAGGTCAGATAACCTTATGCTCGAAGGGTTGTGTTCGATTACGATATTCATTTTGGAAGAGGAATAAGGTGAGAACTCGATAGTGTTTCAATGCTATTGGATAGAAGAGAGAAAGAAAGATAGGAAAAAAGTAGGTTTATGAGATGTATTTATATGGTGAAGGACAGAGTAGTTCTGTATGTTAAACAAGTATGTATAAAGTGACTTCTTCTTTTTTCCCTTCTATTGAAAGGGATATAATCAGAGAGAGGAATATTAAAAGAAGCACTTTGACCCAGAATGGATACAAAACAAAGTCAATTAATCCATTAAGCTGCAATTTTTAGATAGTCATTCTAGAAGTAGATAGTATTACAGATGTCTAGTTTTCTACTTTTCTTTATTTCATCAGTTAATTTGATTAAGATTATTTCTCTAGAAGGCAAAATGCTTGTTTAGTCTGTCAACAAGCTTTAATGATAGACCTAGACCGAGTCTCCAACCACATGGACCCCTTCTGTTTTGTCACTGCGTCCATTATGCTTTCCTTTTCACAGTTTTACGAGTAACTGAGTCTCCGGACAGTGTAGTCACCATGTGAATTCTGCAGTGATCAAGTGTGTACACTGGAGAGGATAAAATAGGATTGAATTTTGTCGGCTGTTGCAGTTGTGCTACTAATACCGTATCTGGATTTGTTTAGCTTGATTCTTCTGTGAATATTGTTATCATATCTTCAGAAAATTTATTATATGGTCTTGTTTTTTAGTTTCGAGAATGTTTGACTGGTTCTTCAGTGGAAGATACGTGATAAATCGGGACATTGATTTGTGTAGCCCACCTCTAGTTTGGCTGCTTCCTCAACTGGCTCTGTTTGTTTTTTATATATATATTCTGATATGCCATGGCATGTGAGGATTAGTAATATAGTGTATATCCTACTTAGTACATCTATAAATACATTCACATATTTATAAAGAGACTCATATTTTTGAATTTGCATGCTTATTTGCCAAATTTTTGTCTTTCTTTAAGAGTAATATGAACTAGGTTCAGAATGACAAGAAAAGCTCCATGTGAACACCCTATTGAATTTGGAAACAATGTCCTGTTTTAATTTGGTCTGATCATTCACACGTCGAAACCTTTGTTTTTATTCCTTGTTACCTCTTTTAATCTCAGATCTCTAAGGTAATTGACACGGGAATGCTTGGTGGTGTTTACTGAGATTCAAGCTAGAAACATAGAACAAAATGCCTGCACAATGGTGATAGATTTTCTCATAGATATTAATGGAAAAAAAACAGGATATCACTAAACTCTCTATTGATATTAGTAAAGCTTACAGCACAAAATTTCATGTCGTTTTTAGGTACCTATGGAGTTCATAAGGCAGTTCTTAAAATGAAGCTCAGTACTTTGCAGAGTCAAGAACTTAAGTTATCAGGTCGGATTCAAAGTTATCATTAAGGAAATATCAAATACTTCTCTTTTTTTAGTTTGACACTGAACACGATCCGGAACTCCATTTGGCTCGACCTCTAGGGTCAAGTAAGGTGGCAGACTCATTCCCAGTAAACGAAACCGGAGGTCTGACTTTGGTGTGAATAACGGACGTTAAGGACAGACGTTAAATGAAGGTAACGTGGCAAACGGCACTGTAGAGGTCACAACACGACGTCGTTCAGCCACTTTTTAAGAAAGACAAAGAAGATCGAAACTTTTTGAACTTAAGCAACTTAAAATTGAGATTTTGTTTGTAACAACTCATTACAACTCATTATAGTGTGGTTTAATAGTGTGAATTTAATACGTCTTAAAGTTATTTTCTAAACAAAAGAAAATGTAGGAACATACATCAGACTGAAACGGTGTTAAGCGTCTTACAATTTCTTATTTGGCTAATAAATCTGTTTGATTTTTTTTAGACCGGTAGTAAATTTAGTATATCTCATAATTTGTATATATAATCAACGATGATACTGTAAGAAAACAATGTTTGACCATATACGATTGTTTTATTTGGACGACCTTTGACCATATCCATAAATTTGCACCAAATCATCTATACTCATCAGACTTTGGCCGATACTTTGGCAAAAAACTGTATGCGGGCTTTCTCAGAAACCGAGGCCTTTTATGGGCCAACCCGTTTTTAATTAAATGAAGTAAAAATTCTGATCAAAAAAACTATTACAACGAAATGTTTACATTTGATTAATTTTTATCCTAAATACAAGTTACTAACATATATATTAAAAATATTTGGCAAGAAAAAAAATTTAAGTCAAATATAAAAGGCTAATTCTAGAAGGAAAACAAAAAAAATTGGTCAAAACACTCAGTGGGATGCCAAAAAATATATTGTTTTTGGGTCAAGAATATTGAAATTGTTTTGGAAGTAAAATAACACGTGGTCAATCCCAAATATTTTATTCCTTAAATATAATTTTCTTGACAAATATGAAAGAACTCTTTTATGGCAAGAAAATAGAAATATTAAAAAAATTGAGATTTTTTTAGATAAAGTTACGAGACCTATTTATGTCTTCAATTACAAGATTTAGAGTTCTATAAATAAAGATTATTATTCAAGTTCTTGTAAAATTGCAGAGCAACTTGTTTTCTTCGATAGATTTTAAACAACAACAAAGAAAAAGAACAAAAATGAGTTTCACAAAAATCTTGGCGACGTTTTTTCTTATAGCTATATTGGTTGTTTCGATGTCTAGCAAAAACGCTTTGGGCTCACGCTTTGGTGGTATACATTATATATATATATATATATATATATATTGTTATTGCAGCTCATTAGCATTTTTAAGAAAATGTTATTTTACTATAGAGATATATAATATTTGTGTGTGTGGTTTATGTGCAGATATAAAAAGGCAACGATGTTTTAACAAATGCACGAATAAATATGGACCGTTTGAGTGCAGTATGGACTGTAGGTTATCCCATTACGGAGACGGAGACTGTGTTTTAGGATATTGTTGCTGCGATAATGTGCCACCTGCTCAGTTTATTAAATCTCATGAATGATCCTTATTGTTTTGCTTTTGATTATGAGAAACATGTACCGTATTAAACATATATATCCTGAAATAAAAGCTATATTATTATCTTCTTTTTTTTTTGTTTTCATTCAATTCAATGGATCGACTGCAGTTCAGGGTTTCATTAACCATTAAAAACAAAAAGCAACTTCTTTAGTTGAGATTTTGGTAAATCACTGATGGCGCTAAGATAGTTGAGAAAGATGAAAACACAACAAGCTTAATGATAAGCTTCAAACAGTAGTCTTAAAAGGTTGTGAATATGAAAGCTATAAAGTAGTAATATATATATACGTTACGCACAGTTAGAGCTGTGCTGTAACAAAAAAGGCAATTGCTTTAGGCCACCAAAATTTATTCAAGTTTTAAGGGTCACATTTCTTATAACTTTTTTTTTTATAAAAACATTTCTTTTAACTTATAACCAAATATGTAAAATACATGATTTTGTTTGTTAGATATAGTAAAAAAACTATATATATTATATAGTTATATATATAAATAATTGAGACACAACTACAATAAAAATATTATAATAATATTTAAAATTTAGTTTTGTTTCAAGAAACTATAATAGCATTAACATTAAATGAACTATAAAAATACATATTTAAACATAAAAAAAAACAAAAATATATTTTATGATTCGTCTTAGCTTTATGCTGCGTACGGTACGGGAAAAGAAACTAGCTAGGGACACAAGGAGTTGAATCCGGTCCGCCGTAGAAGAAGTGGGTCCCCCATGCCTCATTGTGAGCTTTGATCGCGTTGTAACACGTGGGGTTCCGAGTTTGCAGCAAAAAGTCATCGACCCGTACGAGGTGGTAGAGAGGATCGATGATTCTGAGGTTGTGGAAGAAACTGGCTTTCCCGAAGCCTTCCTCCGCGAAATGCCCCGAACCCATCTGCGTTGTCGTGTGTTGACTGTAGCTGCGGGTGTTTGTTATCTCGCCACCCCACTGCACCAACACGCCGGACCACTGCGGGTGTTGACTGTTAAGTAACTTCTGTACCATTTAAGTACTGTATCATTTTAGATGGTTTTACACCAATAGTAAACTATTAAAATAGTAAACTTATTGTGAACAAGTATCCCATTTTCATACGTAAATGTCATGCATTGGAAATCAATTTTCGGAAGCAAAAAATATCTAACCAACATAACAATGTAGCTCTCTATTTTTAACACGACATAACGGTAGTTGTTATAGAAAATATCATAATTAAATTTATCCGGATCATTTTTTTTAACCTCCAAATAACGCTTAACATCTCCCACAAGTAATATCGTAGGCCAAAATTGCGACAATTATTGGCTTAAAGCGACAATCATTCTTGTAGGCCAAACAAATCCTTTCATTAAGTAATAGTAATATGTTCAATTTTTCCAAGAAAAAAAAAACAAATTCGCATATATTTTTCAATATCAAAAGTTGTGAGAACTATATAAAAGATTTTATGTAATTCTGATTAAATTTCTGAACACTGACAGAAACGAACTTAACTTTTGAAGACTGACTGAAACTAGTAGATGTCCATGAAGTGATGGTCATATAATGATATAATTTCTTCACTATATGTTTTGATATAATTATTCTCATTTAGTTTGTTAGAACAATGTCGATTATTTCAAGCAAATTCATGAAAAATATGCTTTTCTTAGTGACGTGTAAAAATATTCTTTTTTCACTTTTTTCTAACTCTAAATTTCGATCAATATGTCTACGTTCATTGAACACAATTCACAACTTAGATCCAAATTGGTAAGCCACTATGTCATTACATAATTTACATATGTAATATATGTAAGCATAGATATGCGACATATAAACACATACATTGATATATCAAACACAACAACACATATAGATATGCACGATGATGACCACACACAGACAAAAAAAATAAAGAGGCATGTTAATGTGCATAATGTTAAATTTGATTTAATTTTTATTTTTAAACTACTTCCGTTTTTTGGATAAAACATACTTCCTTTTGTTTTGTGAAGCTCTTTACAAAAACAAAATCGAAGATGGCAACAACCTCCACGGGAGATATCGAGAAATGCAAGTCAAATATGAAAAAATAAATGTCTACATATATGTCACATATATTATCTGCATATGTGCTTTGGAATTCAGGGCTTTTCGAATCTATGCTAGCTTAACAAAAACTATATATATCAGGAATGCAATGGAATTTTTTGGAGGCAGTTACCGCTAGCAATCTAGTCGTATAAAGTAAGGAAAATGAGTTATAACCAGGCAGTTAATTTTGATGCCACATAAATAAAATAGAACATTCTTTCTATTTTCCTTTTTCCTTTCAAATTTCCTTTTGAAGTAGTTATAGTAAACTGTTATAGTAAACTAGTTTAAAAATTGATTCCAAGTTTCATACGTATACGTATAAATTTTAGTTCTGATTGGATGGATTTGATATGCTTGAAGAACCGAAAGTAGATTATATAAATAGAATTTTCGCCCTTTAAAAAAAATATAACTAGTCGAAAAAAATATAAATAGAAGAATTTAAACGGGGGAAAACGCTATATACCAAGTAGTAGATTCCGTGGAATTTGTCAAACAAAAAGAGACGTTAACCAAGGGAGGCATAGCAAAACGGCGCCATATAGATAACATAACAACTTGGGCCGAGCCAGGAAGGACAAAACTACTAAACGACGACGTTATGTGAAGGTACATCTGAACATTACAGAGGGGATTTGGAGGAGAAGGGAAGAAACAAAGAAAACGGATTCTAGAGGAATTTCACCGAATGCGATTTGATTATGGGCTCATCTACTTAGTTTGATTCGGTGGCTAACCAGTGATGTATAAGAAGTCGGAATCGATCCGAAATTTCAAAAACAGCAAAATCGTCGAACTGCTCCCGAAGGTTTGACCTTCAACCGGAGATTACCCCCCCACCCCAAAACAATTCTATGGCAATTGGGTTCGGTTTATATCAAACCAAATATTACATGATTCTCAATTTGGTTTGGTTTGATTAAACCAATTCTAAAAGAAAAATATTTTTGAATAATATGTCGACACTTGACAGTTGATTTAACGGATACGTATAGCCCGGTCCGGACCAAATGATTTCATCACATTTTCACGGGTCAGTTTATGTGAACCATGTGCGCTTTCTAAGATACTTGTGGAATCCTAACTAAACCAGAAAGCCCAAAACACAGTCATCCAATTTTTTTCCATGTCATGTCACCACAGTGAATTTTATTTTTATACAATCAACTCATAATGGTTGAAATAAATAAAACCTACATGGATTGTTGTCAAAAATATATAAATAAATAACTATAGAGATTATTGTTACTATTATTTCCTAACATATTGAATCATTTAACTAATATCTTTTGTATCCCGAATTCAAAATATTTTCAGTCATAAAGTTTTAAACGAAACTATCCAACTATCCAAGCAAATAAATTGCATCAAAATCTGTATTAAATGTTGAATTTATGACTCACAGTAAGATCTATTGAAAATTAAAACAAATGTTCAAATTAAAATAAAAATAATTGCAAACAACTGGAGAATATATTAGTATTAGTATTATTATTATTGCAAATTTACCCAGCAAAAGTCAATAAGTGAATATTCGGCTTGTAATTGGCCGCTCTTAACTTTAGATTTTTTTTCTTCTAAAAATCCTCTATCTTTAACTGAAATAAGTATCTGAATTCTGGGACTGTTAAACTTTCTCTTATGGTTAAACTTCATTTAGTTTTACTGTATAGCTTTCAATATAAAGAAATTAAAACTTTCATATAAAGAAATTAACGTGGCAAACGGCACTGTAGAGGTCACAACACGACGTCGTGTAGCCCCTTTATAAGAAAGACAGAGAACTGGAAGACATTTTTCAGACCGGAAGTAAATTTTGTATATGCCATCATTTGTATCTATATAATCAACGATAATACAGTAAGAAAACAATATTTGACCATTTACGATTGTTTTATGGGATGGACGACCTTTGACCATATATAATGCAATCCATAAATTTGCACCAAATCTATACTCATAAATATATGATACAATATTACAACGAAATGTTAATATTTAATTAATTTTATCCTAAATACAAGTTACTAACATGTATTAAAGGCCTTTGGCAAGAAAAGAAAAAGAAGACATATATAAAAGGCTAATTATAGAAGAAATTAAAAATTGTTTGGTCAAAACGCTCAGTGGGGATTTCAAAATATATTGTTTTTTGGGTCAAAAAGATTGAAATTGTTTTGGAAGTAAAATAATACGTGGTCAACCCCAAATATTTTATTCCTTAAATATAAATGTTCTTGACTAACAATATATACCAAATATTTTATTCCTTAAATATAAATGTTCTTGACTAACAATATATAAGAAGTCTTTTATGGCAAGAAAATAGAAAATTTGAATTTTTTGAGATAAAGTTACGTGACCTAATATGTTTTCATCAGTTACAAGATTTAGAGTTCTATAAATAAGGCTTATTATTCAAGTTCTTGTAAAATTGCAGAGCAACTTGTTTTCTTCGGTAGATTTTAAACAACAACAAAGAAAAAAAATGAGTTTCACAAAAGTCTTAGCGACGTTTTTCCTTGTAGCTATATTGGTTGTTTCGATGTCTAGCAAAAACGCTTTGGGCTCACGCTTTGGTGGTATACATATATATATATATATATATATATATATATATATATATATTTAAATTGTTATTGCAGTTCATTAGCTTTTATAAGAAAAATGTTATTTCACAATAGAGATATATAAATTTTTGTGTGTTTTTTATGTACAGATATAAAAAGGCAACAATGTTTCAACAAATGTACGAGCAAATATGGACCGTATGAATGCAGTACAGACTGTAGGTTATCCTTTTACGGAGACGGACACTGTGTTTTGGGATATTGTTGTTGCGATAATGTGCCACCTGCTCAGTTTATTAAATCTCATGAATGATCCTTAACCTTATTAATGTTTTGCTTTTGATTATGAGAAACATGTACCGTATAAAACATATTATATCCTGAAATAAAAGCTATATTATTATCTTCTTCTTTTTTGTTTTCATTCAATCCAATCGACTGCAGTTCAGGGTTTCGTTAACCATTAAAAAAAAAAAACAACTTGTAATTTAGATTTTGGTAAATCATTGATGGCGCTAAGATAGTTGAGAAAGATGAAAACACGACAAGCTTAATAATAAGCTTTAAACAGTAGTCGTACAAAGTTGTGAATATGAAAGCTATAAAATAGTAAAAAATATATATGTATTATGTATACGTAGGGGAAAAGAAACTAGGGACACAAGGCGTTGAATCCCGGTCCGCCGTAGAAGAAGTGGGTCCCCCATGCCTCATTGTGAGCTTTGATGGCATTGTAACACGTGGGGTTCAGTGTTTGCAGCAAGAAGTCGTCGACCGGTACGAGGTGGTAGAGAGGATCGATGATTCTGAGTTTGCGGAAGAAACTAGCTTTCCCGAAGCCTTCCTCGGGGAAGTGTCCCGAACCCATCTGCGTTGTGGTTTGTTGACCGTAGCTGCGGGTGTTTGTTATCTCGCCACCCCACTGCACCAACTTCGCCGGACCGTCAGCCAAATGGGTAAACAGACTCGCCGGCCAATACCCCACAAATGACTGGCCAATACCAAGCCACCAGTTCCCGTTGTCGGTATCCTACCATTTCCAAAACAACACAAAAGTTTTTTACATCAAATATATATATATAGTTATATATAGTTGTTCGATCGATCGGTTAAGTAGAAAAATATTTTTATTAAATAAAACAAACATGTTAATTATACCTTCCATATCGCCATTGTAATGTCGTATTGGTTGCTGCCGTAAGAAGATATAGGAGCAAATGCTGCTCCGATCGCATAATCACTCGGGACTTGTACAAACCCAGGGCAATCAAGGTTTAGACACCCTGTCTTTTGATACGTGTCCCTCTACAAACAAAACATTATTCATCATCATAAGTCATTTATTATATCACAAATTTTTGTTTTCTTTTCTATTTGTTTGAAATCAGTGAGATCACTTGTAACAAGGTATTAATTAACTAAAACATTACCGTCCAATATACGAAAAGTCGTGGCAGGCTATCATGATAATGTTTCGGAAATACCTGAACGTTAGAATAAAACAAAATCAGTTTTACTCCCCCCCCCAAAAAAAAAAAATTAGATTTGATTATATTTGCTCTGTTTTGCAGTTTGCACTCTGTTTTCTTTCTCCAACATATTTGGTTTTGATGTTTTAATTCGGACTAGGGAAAAATAACAAATTGAATTGTATAAGTTAGACATCAAACTAAAGTTAAAACGAGAGAAGAATTTAAAATACCTGCCATCCAGCTTCTATAGTATTCAGATCAGACCCGTTGTAGTGGCCCGTAACGAGCCATATTTGAGAAAGACTGAACTCCCCCGATCCTGGTTCAACGGCTGGTGCCCACAAGTTCATAGTGGCATGTGCTCCATATATACCTGCTTGGCTTGTGGAATATGCAATCGCATACTATGATTTTCCCGCCATATTTTTCAAAGAAACAAAAAATAATATATATTATCAAATGAAGTGTTAAGATCAGACAAGAGTACTACTGATAACTATGCCGCCAAAACACATTAACGCTTATAAGCCCTCAAGAGTTTTTAAGTTACTTTTGGGTTTTACAAAAGCCTTCAGAGTTTTTAAGTTACTTTTGGGTTTTATACAGTTTAATCTGTTATATTACTGGGCCTGTTGCTGAAGAAAGGCCAACGTGAAGATTAATTAATACAGTTTAAGCTGTTGGCATATAAGTCAACATCTTTTATGTAACAACCAAATAAATATCAGTATTATACCATACATATCTATCACTCAGGACCTAAAATACTTTCCCTTTTTTAAGCAATGCATTAATAAGAAGCTAGTTTCATTTTTTTATTCCGGCGAGAAAGTACCATCAATCAAGTTGTTAATTAATCAGGCTTGGCAACAAATACAGTTTATATTAAGATCGACATGCTTTCATTTAGTTTGAGAAAAATGTTTAGCTAATAGTTGTATGTAATGTACGTACCTCGTGTCCCTCTTCGGCGGGGTATGGAACTCCCTGGCGACTAACTCGGGCGTCGGTTAAATGCCTTTTTTTGCTGGTGGGTTTGGGTCCGGGCCGTGTGTCACGTCTTATGGGGACCGTTTCGTCGGGACAGCTTGTGCCGTTTTGGTTCCACACCTGCCTTACTCTTTTTTCTTTCATTTCATTCATCCTCTTTGATAACACCCTCGGTACTTCCTGAATATATAAAGTCGTTCATATTCATTAGTGCCATTTTTCTTATCACGCACGGAAATACCGAAGAGATTTTTTGCCTCATACCTTAATTTTGTGATTCCTCAGAAGCGGGTGCCTGAGAGCTGGTTGGGCTTCAAAATAGATGCAGTCAATTAAATCACCATCTGGACTCTGTTTAAGATATATTTTGAAAACAGTTTATCAATAGAGAATTTATATATCCATTTGCAGTATCGATTTTATATAGTTGTTTTTTCACATTTAGCGATACAAGTTGTATTTAAGAAATTTTTGAATGTTCACATCCTTTGTTACCTATATTGCGAATCACACATTTTTTTAGCAATAATTTTATCACACACACATATCTATATAACCTCTTAAAAAATCTGTGTGTTTGAAATTTTGTGAAATAGTTTAAAAGTGTTATGATTTTGTATATATATACATACTTATGATGCTTAAAAAATCAGATGTTTGCAACACTACTAATTTGTAATCAAAATATACTATGACTATATATATCTGATTATAATTTCATAATTCTTCCAAAACTATTTTTTCTCAATTAATTTGAAATATTCGTTGATTGCTCTTAGTTATGAAATTACGTATACTTTTACAAAGTGGTAATCCATCTTTAAATACGTCAGAAATTTGTTGTTTCTCGCTTTATTCCGATTATACTTAGCGATGTTACTTTAAAATATTGTAATAACCAACAATAAAATTTCGAATAATATAAGTATTTAGTCAAATAAATATACGTGAATGTATAAGCTTTATATTTCTTAACCCAAAATAATACCTCGATGGTTAAGACGGGTGGCGTCTCGCAACCCGTATGGCTTAAACAAAGAGCCAGTAGAAGACTGAAGAGTAGAAAGACTGCCATCCGTTTTTTTCCTGGAGTTTACCGAAGTCAGGGCATTTCTTTAAAATCAATGCATAGCCTTTTGGCACTTAATAAAATCACTAATAATTTTGCATCCACACGGTATCTAAACACATATTAAATTGAATTGGCTAAACGAACAACATCCACAGTACTTTTTTTTTGAATCTGTCAACATTGACAGTATTGCATCCAAAAGCAGAGACAAGTACTGGTTTCTGAATCCAATATTGACATAGAATAAGAACCAAAAGAAATTTAGTTTTTAATATTTTTGACTTACGAAGATATATATTACTATATATTACTAGGAAATGTAAGTAACTAAACAAAACTAAATATGACGATGATGATTATCAAGAATCGTGTAAGATCGATAAGTTTACCTTCAGGGAACGAGGAATCACTCTACAAGCTTCTTATCACTATGAACACGAAGACGATATCCGAATGGTTTACTCCACTTTAACGGGGCTGGAGGAACTGTACGACTGTACGAAGGATTTATTGAAGATGGGGTTCGACACAGAGTGTTTGTCGTTTAATAACGAGAGAAAGAAGATTAAGAAAGAGTTTATGGAGGAAATGATTGATAGTTCATTGAGGCTAATACAAATATATGCAACGCGAGAGTGCCTGGAGAGTAGAGGTGTCAAAGGGGCCTCTAGCCCGCGGGCCTAGCCCGTTAAAGCCATAATGTATTGATATGATTATATATATGTATATAAATATATACTTTAAGGAATGATTAACTATGATGCCTAACAACATATTGGGTTTAAAAGTAATATAAAAAATAATATATAAAAAATTAATTTGAATACACCATTTCATTCAACATTAAATATAAAACTACTATAATTATTATATATCTATATGGGTGTTTCAAATCACTTTGACTAATTATATTCTGATAAACGATTTTTTTTATTTTTATTATTTGTTTTATTTTTATATTTTATATAATGTGTACTATCTGTAAATGGTATTTTTTTTAAAGTAGTTATAACTTGAGTAACATATAATTAATATTGGTATGTGTTAGCTAGTCATTAGCTTGTCAAGACCATTTAAACAGTTTTAGAAAAGAAATTGTGATGGTATTTGTTGATAGATTTACTTTTATTTATATAAAATAAAGTTCAAATTCAATAAAATACAAAATAACATATTTAAAAGTGTTTAAAAAACTAAATTATAGATAAATATATTTAAAATTTTAAAATATGTTATTTTTACTTATTCGTTTGCGGACATGCCAGCCCATTTGTCTGCTGGACTTAGCGGAACGGGTTTGGACATATATGTTTTATCTGTGGTCTTAGCAGACAGGCCCATTGCGGTTCCAGAAAAAAAAATTTCTCGGGCTGAGTCCGTTGGACACAGATCCTGTTTGATATTTCTACGAAAGTGTCATGCTTAGCTTTATAGAAGCCTAAGGCGAATTATAAAATATATTGTTGTTTTATATATTTAATTATATATTTTTTATAGTTTATTTAAGGTCAATACTATTATAGTTTCTTAAAATAAAACAAAATTTTATACATTATATTTTTTTGTGTTTCAAACATTTATATATAATTACATAATATTCTTCTAGTATTTAGTTAAAAGTTATAAAAAAATATGGCCCTCAAAACTAGAACAATTTTTAGACATTTTAGATGGAAAGAAAATTCTCCTATTATATAATAGAATTTATTAACTCCACATCCCTTTTTAAGCTATTTGAGTATCTTATCGTTGATCACATAGGTTTTCTCCAATTTAGAGGTTACACATTAATCAACTTATAGGGTGTATAACATACGGCTATGTTTTTTAGTTTTAGTTTTAGTTTAGTTTATAAGTGGGGTTTTACTTCTATGACGTGACAAAATACGGCTATGTTTTTCGAAAAAGCGGTCTTTCGTTTTCTTTACGCAGAGGTCAGAAGTACTATGTATAGATAAAGAAGATATTATTCTATAACTTTTGGGGAATATCCTAAAATAGAAAAACCTACGCACGAAAGTTATTAGTGATTCGGTAGTGGACACGTCTGTATTTATGCTTTGTCCAGACAAAACTTATCCCACTTATCACTGTCTATTCAATTTTGGAATAGTTATGAGTTTTTGTTCAAAAAAAAAAGAATAGTAATGAGTTTTTCAGGTTAACTTTGAAATTTACTGTGGACAACATCTAGTAAGTAGAACTTCTAAGGATTTATGATGAATGCAACGAAATAAAATAAAGGCAATCCTCTACCTAATTAGCTGTCTAAGTTAGATGTATAATAAGGCAAATGATTTGTATCATGCAATGATGCAATTCATTTTGATCCCACATTGATATTCCTTCTCTCTTTTTTCACATTCATTGTTGTTTAGTAACTTCTGTTCCATTTAAGTACTGTATCATTTTAGATGGTTTAACACCAATAGTAAACTATTGAAGTAGTAAATTATTGTGAACAAATATCCCATTTTCATACGTAAAGGTCAAGCATTGGAATTCAAATTTCGGAAGCAAAAAAATATCTAACCAACATAACGATATAATTCTATATTTTTAACACGACACAACGGTATTTTTCATAGAAAACATCATAACTAAATTTATCCGGATCATTTTTTTAACCTCAAATAACTCTTAACATCTTAACATCTCCCACAAATAATATCGTAGGCCAAAATTGCGGCAATTATAGGCTTAAAGCGACAATCATTCTTGTAGGCCAAACATATCCTATCATCATATAAGTAATAATAATATATTCAATTTTCTCAAGTAAAAAAACAAATTCTCATATATTTTCCATATGAAAATTTGTGAGAACTATATATAAGATTTTTATAAAATTCTAATTATTTTTTTTGAACACTGGCAGAAACGAACTCAACTTTTGAAGACTGTCTGAAACTAGTAGATGTCGTTAGTTTGTCTCTAATCTGTATAATTCTGATTAATTGTTCTCATATTAGTTTGTTAAAACAATACAATTAGAACAATGTCGATTATTTCAAGCAACTTCATGAAAATATGCTTTTATTAGTGACGTGCAAAAATATTCGTTCTCACTTTTTTCTAACTTTAAATTTCGATCAATATGTATACGTTCGTTGAACACAATTCACAACTTAGATCCAAATTGGTAAGCCACTATGTCATTACATAATTTACATATGTAATATATTATATATGTATAAATATGCGACATATAAACAAATATATTGATATATACAAACACGACTACACATATAGATATGCAAGATGATGACCACACACAGACAAAAACATAAATTAATAGGCATGCATGTTAATGTGCATAATGTTAAATTTGAATTATTTTTTATTTTAAAATTGCTTCCTTTCTTTGGATAAAGCTTACTTTCCTTTGGGTTTGTGAAGCTTTTTCAAAAACAACAAATCGAAGATGGCAGCAACCACCACGGGAGATATCGAGAAATTCAAGTTTCATACGTATACGTATAAGTTTTACTTTTGATTGGATGGATTTTTGATATGCTTGAAGGAACCGAAAGTAGATTATATAAATAGAATTTCGCCTTTAAAAAAAATATAAATAGTCGAGAAATTTATAAATAGAACAATTTAAACGGAGGAAAACGCTATATAGAAGTAGTAGATTCCGTGTTATTTGGCAAACAAAAAGAGACGTACTTAACCAAGAGAGAGGCATAGTGAAACGGCGCCATATAGCTAACATAACAACTTGGGCCGAGCCAGGACAACGTCGTTTAAGCAACGCTAAGAGAGGAAGGACAAAACAACTAAAACGACGACGTTATGTGAAGGTACATCTGAACATTACATAGGGGATTTGGAGGAGAAGGGAAGAAACAAAGAAAACGAAACCTAGAGGAATTTCACCGAATTCGATTTGATTATGGGTTCATCTACTTGGTTTGATTCGGTGGCTAGCCAGTGATGGATAAGAAGTCGGAATCGATCCGGAATTTCAAAAACAGCAAAATCGTCGAACCGCTCCCGAAGGTTTTACCTTCAACCGGAGATTACCCCCCCCCCCCACCCCAAAACAATTCTATGGCAATTTGATTCGGTTTATATCAAACCAAATATTCATGAATCTCAATTTGGTTTGGTTTGATTAAACCAATTCTACAAAAAAATGTATTTGAAAAATATGTCAACACTCGACACTCGACAGTTGATTTAATGGATAGGTATAGCCCGGTCCGGACCAAATGATTTCATCACATTTCACGGGTCAGGTATGTGGACGGACTATGTGGGCTTTCTAAGATATTTGTGGAATCCAAACTAAACCAGAAAGCCCAAAATACAGTCATCCCATTTTTTCCATGTCATGTCAGCACAGAGAATTTTCTTTTTATACAATCAACTCATAATAACAACAAAGGTTGAAATAAATAAAACCTACATCGATTGTTGTCAAAAATAAATAAATAAATAACTATAGAGATTATTGTTACTATTATTTCCTAACCTATGAAATCACTTAACTAATTTTTTTTGTGTCCCGAAATTCAAATATTTTCTGTCATAAAGTTTTAAACAAAACTATCCAACTATCCAAGCAAATAAATTGCATCAAAATCTGCATTAAATGTTGAATTTATGACTCACAGTAAGATCTATTGAAAATTAAAATAAATTTTCAAATAAAAATAAAAATAATTGCAAACAAGTGGAGGTATTAGTATTATTATTATTGCAAATTTACCAACAAAAGTCAATGAGTGAATATTCGGCTTGTAAATTGGTCGCTCTTAACTTTTAGATTTTTTTTTTCTTCTAAAAATCTTCTATCTTTAAGTAAAATAATACCATTAATATCGCAGAGACGGCACACTTCTCTTAGTCCAAAAAAATTAATAAAATAAACAAAACTGAGCCAAAAGTTGGAGAAACGTTTCTTATTTAGGGACAGAAGAAAACGTTTCTTCCGGACACGATTGTGATTGGTTGTGAAAATTTAGGGAGAAATTTGTTTTTTCTCTGCTCTAATTTTTTTGCGTCGACTATATTTTCCGAAAACACTTTGTTCTCTCCGTCGAAAGGCGATTTGGAAGGCGATGTCGACGTTTCAATTTCTCCGGCGGATTCTCTCCGACAGCAGTTGTTTTTCGGGCGGCTTCTGGCATCTCACCGACGATCTATCCAAGTAATCGGTGTTAACCTAATCCCAAACTCTACCCTCGATCTGCTGTTTCTCTGATAGACGTGAGTTATAATTGTGTTTTAGAGATGATGAAATGATCGATGGGATTTTGATTTGTTGATTTGGATTTGGTTTAAAGCGAGTAATCCGGTGGTGGTAATTCAGTAGGGGATCGATTAAATCCAGTCAAGTTTCTACCAATATTCAGCCTAAGAGCATCTTTAACACGGTCTTCAGATCGTTTTTTGCAGAAACTTAATATTTTATTAATCATGTAGCGTTTCCTATTTGCTCGAGACGTCTCCTATTTGGGGACGTTTTCACTCGTTTCTTCCGACACGTGGTGTGATTGCATTCGTTAAAAAATAAAGAGAGAGTTTTTTTGTTTTTTACCTCCATCCATTTTTTTTTTTTGGAAACCCATTTGGGACTCTTCATTGCACACCTAAATCACTAAGTCTCTAAAATAAGTTTTTAATTTCACTTTTTGCTCAAAAACTAATTAAATAATAAGCTGAAGACCCTCGTGGATCTCTCTCATTGAGGTTGCTCTAAAACATACTGTTTCTTTAGAGTTTCTCCAAACACAAAAAAATAATTATAAATGGCTAAAGAGACTCATATTGGTCTCTGCGATATTAATGCTCTAAATATCTGAATTCTGGGACTGTTAAACTTTCTCTTACGGATGAACTTCATTTAGTTTTACTGTATAACTTTCATATAAAGAAATTAGAATTTTCACCTTTAGGATAAGTGAAGAAGTAATAAATAGCCGGAAAAGGTTGGTTTGAGATGAAATTTACCCATTTTTATGTTTTTTCTTCAAAAATCATAAAACAAGATGCAGTTGGACAGGGTAGCTTCGTCATGTTAATTTAAGACGTGAGCTGGTTGAGTTGGTAGATCTCTTAATTTCACATATGTATATATATCTCTCTCCAATAATTTTTTTTTCTCTCTAAAAATTACATTTGAAAATCTAGACAAGAGAATACTTTAATTTTCGAATCACTAATATGTAGAATTTAGTCTAAATTTTCCATTTAGGCATGCCATTTCCTTCACTCAATTCTTTAATTTTTTTTATTAACAAACGTAAGGTATCGATATATGGACTAATTAACTAAAGTGTAGTATAATCTGAGAATTTTATTTTTACCAATTAAATGCTAACCTGAAATGGCTTATAATTTTAATATAAAATATCAAGCATAGTCCGCATTTCAAGAAAATAAAATAATTTTTCTACACACAACATTAGATCAATACTAGATAAAAAACAATTTTTTTTTTAAAAGCATGGTACTGACTATTGAACATGACCCAACCCATTGACATCAATGGCTTTAATAGTTATGTACGTCAATGGCTTTAATAGTTATGTACATTTTGTTTATATATATACTCTTCCAAATTAACTTCCAGATTAACTTCCAAATTAAAATTCGCAGTACACTTCGATATGATAACCTTTAACAAAGAAACATACTGATATGATTTCATTATATATGATAACATATCAAGGAGAGGCACATGGTTGGACAAAACTACATCAGTTTACTGCAATTTTGTACTATCTAAATTACATTAAAAACTTTTACCAGTTTAACTTACCATATTTGAACTTCGATGGAATGAGTTTGACATGAGATAGCTCAGTAAAGTATATGTCGATGTTATCTACTATCCAGCCATCATCTTAATTCAATTTGGATATGTTTTTGAAGAAAATTATTTTTTATATAGAATCATGTAAAACCCATGATATAAGAAAATAGGAGGAGCTATAGGATAGGCCTAAACTCACGTATGTTCGGTTAACTATAATTATTTCACAAATTAGCCAAGTAGTCGGACGTGGATGGTTATACAATATATATAGTTACGTTGGAATCGGTCCAGACTGTCCAGTCACTATATCTCAGTTTGACTTCGGGTATAACACAACATTACACAAAATGGAGGCGTAGAACAACAAATAGTAAAAAAGATTTTATCAAAAAAGTAGTAAAAAATAAATCAAGTAACTCTAACATAGTAGTTTCTCACATATTGTCAAAATATATAAACGATTTTCATTGGATGCACATACTTAATCATTTCAAAATTTACATATCACTTGTAGACAATGCATGAGATCAGTATAGCATTCATTCAAACTTCAAGAGTTTCAAGACAATTCCATTTTAGGAGAAGAAGCAATAGTACCATTTCTAACATTTATTACATCCAAACAACAAACAAGACCAATTTTTATGGTGTGTAACTTGGCAGCCTCTATTAGTGTCTCTCTCATTTTAAAACTCATACAACAAAAAAAAATATACAAATTAAAACATATACATACACAGATACATATACATTTACTTACTGAACCTACATATCCACTGTCAATGTATATATATAACACCCTCCATATGCTCTCAAATTATTCGTCAATTTAAAACCTTTCTCCCCATTCGTCATCTAGTCCCTTCTCAGTCCATAACTATGGATATCAATTATTCTCCGTTAGGTTTTCTAATTTCACTCTTCTTCATTGTTACTTTTCTTGCACCACAAGTCAAATCTAGGGCTTTCTTTGTCTTTGGTGACTCTCTCGTCGACAATGGAAACAACGATTACCTTGTCACCACTGCTCGCGCCGACAACTACCCATATGGTATCGATTACCCGACCCGTCGACCCACCGGTCGTTTCTCTAACGGCCTTAACATTCCTGATATTATCAGTAAGCATATAATTTGAAAAATACATATAATTATACGATATTTTTTCTCTAATTATAGTCTTTATAAATTAGTGATTTGTTTTAATACTATGTATCTCTCTTACTAGGCGAGGCCATAGGCATGCCGTCGACTTTGCCGTACCTCAGCCCGCAGCTCACCGGCGAAAATCTTCTCGTCGGAGCTAATTTCGCCTCCGCCGGAATTGGAATTCTCAATGACACTGGAATTCAGTTCGTAAGCAACTTCTAGAATATTTAAGTTAATGCAATTCAATAACGTACGACTGATTATTAGAAAATTAATGCGAGAAAAAGACGTTATTACCCTCTTTTACTACTACTAATAAATTATGTTTTTGCTTGGCAGGTAAACATAATTAGAATATCTAAACAGTTCGAATACTTCCAACAGTACCAGCAACGAGTGAGCGCATTGATCGGACCAGAGGCTACACAACAGCTGGTTAACCAAGCTCTTGTTCTAATCACACTTGGTGGCAACGATTTCGTCAACAACTATTATCTCATTCCTTTTTCTGCTCGTTCTCGCCAATTCGCGTTACCCGATTACGTTGTTTATCTCATTTCCGAATACGCAAAGATCCTTAGGGTAAGCAACCCCCCAACAAAATACTTATTCAGCTATTCTACTTTATTTTCACGTGATGCACCTTCCCTTTTTTATATAAAGAAAAATTTAGAGCAAAATGATACACTTAATTTATTGAGTCTGTCCTATACTGTAATAAATTGGTGACTTACACGAAATTAGCTAGAATCATGGAATCTTGATTCTTACATTATCATTTAGCTTATTGAACTGTTGTCTCACTATAGGAAAATTTATTTAATAAGTGACCCCCCAATAATTTATTTCGTTATGTCACCATGTAATTAATGTCGTTATTCTCTTGGAAAGAGGGAGCATAACTTCATTTTAAATGATGGGCAGATTTAATAGCGATTTTTATTTCATTTTTTTAATAAAAATGTTATGATATTGATATAGTACTATTAATTAGTTTTCCTTTCATAGTGCATGATTTCGTGATTTTTTTTTTCTTTGGTCTTCATTGATAAAGAAACTCTACGAGTTGGGTGCAAGACGGGTTCTAGTAACCGGAACTGGTGCGATGGGATGTGCACCCGCGGAACTGGCTCAGCATAGCCGCAATGGCGAGTGCTATGGAGCCCTCCAAACAGCAGCTGCTTTATTCAATCCACGATTAGTTGATTTGATCGCATCAGTCAATGCTGAGATTGGCCAGGACGTTTTTATAGCAGCTAATGCTTATCAAATGAACATGGATTATTTATCTAACCCAGAACAATTCGGTAATTATAACTCATCTCTTTCTATTTTTTTAGTTACTGCTTATAAATATAAATCTTTGATTAATATTATTGGTTTCGAATTAAAGAAAATAAAGTAACAAATCAACCAAAGATTGCTAGATTGGACCAGTGACGTTGGGTCAAGTGGTCTAAGATTTAATGATATAAGCATGTAAATGACCCTTTTTTGAAGTACCTATAGTAATGTTTGAATTGATTGTATGCGTACGAAAATTAATAAGTGAGCATGACCAATTTGTAGGGACATCTTTTCCATACATGTTATTACATTAATACATTTATACATAAAAGTGATTTTTTTTTACTTCACATTTTCTAAAGAGGCAATATAATATGAGTAATATACGTATGTGTCGGTTTGTATACATAAGCAGTATCGTTTTGATATGATTTTTTTCGTAACACTAACAGGAACTGTCTGGTCTTTAAACAGTTCCATTTGAACGGAGTTTTTTTTTAAGAATCTCACTCGAAAAATTGTAAACTCATACATAACAAAAAAAAGAGAGTTATAGATGGCAGTTGAAAACATTTATTATATGTCTGGACTTTAGATAAATAAGTGCTGAACATAAACACATACTCCACAACTGTCGTCAAAAATCAAATATTATAATTTTGTTTTGTGTGTATATATATATAATTACAAAAATACATATACGTTTCCATTCATTGTTAGTAAATACTAAATACTAAATACCTTTCAATTTGAATTGTTATATGTGTGTAGGGTTTGTGACATCGAAGGTGGCATGTTGTGGACAAGGACCGTACAATGGTATAGGACTATGCACACCAATCTCGAACCTGTGTCCGAACAGAGACTTATATGCGTTTTGGGATGCGTTTCATCCGACAGAAAAAGCCAATAGGATTATCGTTAATCAAATCCTCTCTGGTTCCTCCAAGTATATGCACCCTATGAACCTAAGCACCGTCATGCTCTTGGATTCTTCTAGAGTCTAATTTAAGTGATTTATTTCAACTAAATTTCAAGATCTCGTCTTTTAAGTAGTTTGTATTGTTGATTAAAAGTTTGATCAGCATCATTAGTTTAATTAAGAGTTTTTTTCTTGTCTGTGATGTCGTTTGATGCCTTTGCTTGTTGTATCTTGATTAGATTAGTTTATTTTAATTTCTTATGTGTGTGTGCCAATTATCATGTAATATTTGGAATGGTTGCTATATGGTTTTATTTTGTACTCGAGATGATTGATTACTCAACTCTTATATAAACTAGTGAGATGCATCATAGCTATCAATTTATAAATGATCCCACATCTATTCATTTTTAGTATTAGCAATAACTTATGTACCATTATTTTTTCGGTCAACTATGAGCAATTAAATAATGAGCCATTAGTTATCTGCTCTAAATTTAATATTCACGTCGGGTTAGAAAAAAGGGCTCATAAATTCTCTAAGCCCTTAGCAAAAATTGATAATTATCTTCAAATTTGTGATGTTATGGAAAAATCACATGTGAAAAATAAAGTTGTTAGACTCACAGAGCAGGTAATAAATTATAAAACATTAAGCTTTTAGAGTGACTATATGTGAGAAAAGTTACAGAGTGCGAGCACATGACTTAGTCATCTTCAGTTAAAAGGCAACCGACTTTATCTTTAATTTCACTTCTGTTTTATATATGTTTTCTAAATTAAACTCACTAGAAAGCAAAACATGTACCGTGCCACGTATTTGGATTTTCGGGCTAAACAAAATGGTAACATTTGTAAAATATCTTGTTAGTTTTTCTTTTTTTTTACTGATCGAATTATTATTCCTATTAACTTTTTTTCTCATTTCCTTTAAAGTAATTAAACATAATAAATATGGACGTTTTCCAAACTAAAACTACTTAACTACAAACAGTTTGAAATTAGTTTTTAGCAAATTAAAAATGGCTACATTGTACAAATATACGAATTGCTTAGCATGGAGAGCCACATTTAACTCTTATCTTATACACGAAATATCTAGATATAAATTTTTTATATATGTCTACTGTTGCATGTTATGATAATGATATGTGTCTATGTACCTTTCGGAAAAATTCTTGTCGCTATACATTGCTGTGGGTAATGAATCATTAATGTCTGAAGGAGGGAAAGAGTACAGAGGAGTTTGTTGAGGCATTTCACAGACATTATAATGTGAATAATAATAAAGGAATTAGTTCTAGTTGGTGAAGTGGGTGAAATTTTTATGTCCATTGGGTAGTATAGTATAAACTATAGAACATTTATACAGAAATTTATAGTCTTTTACTATTGACATTTATTGACGGACCCCTATCAATTATCACAGCGTCAAACCATACATGCCATCTTAAAAAAATTTCAATTTCTCTCTTACAACAAAACCAAACTTCCTACCATAATTTAAGCTATTTAGCGTTTAACTAGTTGTTGAAGTTAACTGATTCATTGTTAGTGAGACATTAATTTCAAGCAAGTTTTTTTTATTCCATATTTCAAACAAGTTTAACTGTGGATAAATCATTAGAATGTAAACATTAGGAACTGATATATGAATATATATGTGTGTGCGTTATTATATATATATATATATATATATATATATATACAAATGAAAATTCCAAATTAATGGTCAGACAGCATGGAGATTCCAATAATGCTATATATTGTGTACTAAAGTTTTAAAAATGTGGAAATAAAATCATATTTTTGGTTTTTTATATAATTAATTGAGTTATATCCTAAATTTAACAATAAACAACAAAACTATCAACAAAAGAAAAAGTTACTCCTCTCTTACTTCAGAAAGATAATTTATCTTCCACAAATGATAGCCAAAACTCAAAAAAAAAGAAAAGAAGAACAGTACAAGTTTCGAAGGAAAAAAGCTAAACGTTTTAGTCGTGGATAAGAATAAGGTATACCTTTTACGCCAGATGGAATTTGGTCGAGATCTTGCCTTGGAGCCATTGTTGCCACAGCAGAGAAAGGAAAGCATGTCACCAACAAACATCTTGACGACTTGCTCACTTCAATCTTTTCTTGTTCGACACAGCAGCTAGGCGTACTTATGGGTAAGAGATTATTAAGTTTGCCTTTAGGCTTTACTAGTAGTTTTACTATGTGATCTAGATTCTAGAGGCAGACATAACCGATTCGTATTAATTATAGGATATCCGAAATACAATCTGTATAATAAATATGTGGATTACAAATTGAATTAGATTTTTTTTGTAAAATTACTTTTAAATATTTGATTAAATTTATCACATTTACACAGAAGTTAGATGAATGATTTCCTTTTTAATACATATCTTAATTATTAATTAATAATGTTTTTACGACTTTCGTTGGAGTATTAGAATTCATTGATAAATATTTGAACTTTAGATACTAATATATTAGAGTAGACTACTCATATGAGTATGACTCGGTTATATACTTGTTTTATAAAAATATGTGCCTAATTCTAATATAATATATGAAGAATGTCAAACTAGAAAAGTAACCAAGTTGACTATTATTAATGTATAAGGCAATCCAAATTAGAGCTTCGAGCCAAAGGCGTGACAGCAATAATCGTGGGTGTGATTATAAGGAGCGACAAAAAAAGAGGAAAAACGCTTTCTGGAAGCTGGAACTAACGAACGAGTGTCTGGAAATACCATTCGGTTCTTGGAAACTCAGTCTTATTCTTGATGGAGACGGTAGTTATGGAAAGCATCTCTGTAAGAGAATTTTAGCTTTGTTGTATTATAATCAATACGTTGAACACTAAACCGGAGATAACCACTGTAATCGATGTATAAGGTAATCAAAGAGCCTCAAAAAGGGGTTCGAAATTGATGATACTAAAAAGGAATTTTCATCAATTTCACACACTTATATATCGACCATTGTCAATTTCCGAAAAACTTTGAAAAAATCTTTTAATTTTTTATTTTCTGGAAAAAGATAATGGGTTCGTAGTTTACATGTAAAAAAAAGTGAACACAAGGCCAGCTGTTTCGTTATATAAAGCGATTTTTCAGAATTAAAAAATTGAATATCATAAGGTAGAAGTACAACTGTTGAAAAAAATGCACCATAATTAAAATAATAGACAACAAACAATGTAACGCGTAAGGTTTTTACAAATCTAAATTATGATTTTTATTATTCATCATCCATTATTGTACAAGACACTTTTTAAATAGCTATTTTTTTCAAAAAAAAACTAAAAATTAATCCTAAGAGGCCATTAAGAACTCAACTTATGAACACTGACAGAAACTGGTATATGCTGTTGAAGAGCTAATCATACGAGAGTAGTAGTACTAAAACATTAACTTCTATGCCCAAAGGGAATATCTTAGCACATGTATTTGAAAATCTTTCTCCTAACCGTTTAACAAAACCTTTTAACCCAACAACAAAAAGAATGAATTTAACCCTTTTCAACAAAAAACAGCAAAAAGAATGAAAGTATCTAATCTTAACAAAAAAAAAGTATCGTACATTTCCTATGTCTGAAAATATCAAATGGAATATTTTCTTTACAAAGTGAATCTAGAAAAAAAATTTAGTTGGAGACATAATTTTATAAATAAGGAATTTTTTTTTACCAGAAAATCCAGTATAAACATAGTTGATAGTACTAACATATAATTTTAGTGAAACTAAGTTAACTATTGGGTTGTTTCAATTTTTACAACTGCTTTTATTTTTATGTAGGTTTTAATGGTTGATTTTTTCTGGTTAAAATAAGCGACATAATTTATAAATAAGAAATAAATTTTTCGTCTTAACCTTTAAATTAAAAATATTTTAATTAAATTTATCTAAATTACTTTAGAAAAACAGTAAGGGACACGTACCCGTCTGGTCTTTGCTACGTCCGCCCCTGTTTCTTTAGTTTCTTTATAAAGTATATGAACGAAATTAATACAAAGAACATAGAATCTGATCTTATGATCCAGATGAATTAATTAAAGATATATTTTTCCACTTCAGTTTTCTTAAGTATTCTTAAAATTTGTTCTCCATTGATTTAATTGTTCTCATATTAGATTGTTAAAACAACTCAGTTGGAACAGTGTAGATTACATTTCAGCCAAATTCATGTAAAAAGATGCTTTCTTCGTGACGTGAAAACATATGCTTTCTTTTCACCCCTTTTTTAAACTATATATTTCGATCAATGTCTACGTTCTTAGAACACAATTTCACAATCTCCTTTAGAATCCAAAATCGTAAACCACTTTCTAATCTTTTTCATTGTACATATGTATTGTGTATGCATATATACGTAGACAAATATACACAAACACGAAACCATGCATGCAGGAAGATATCACCACACAAACTAACAAAGCATACACCTGCATGCGAACTTATAGATTCCATATTGTGATTTGATTCATTTCAAAAAAAATTTTTAACTTGCTTCTTTTTGTTTGAAGATAGTTGGAAAACAAATCAAAGATGGCAGCAAAATCCACGGGGATTACCGAGTCAATAGAAAGCAAGAAGAAACTAAACGTGTTGATCGTCGATGATGATCCACTAAACCTTAAACTCCATGAGAGCATCATAAAAACGATTGGAGGAATTTCTCAGACGGCGAAGAACGGTGAGGAGGCAGTGATCATCCACCGCGCCGGCGGAGCATCTTTCGACCTTATCCTAATGGATAAGGAAATGCCCGAGAGGGATGGAGTTTCGGTACAATTGATAATATTTGTTTTTTACGAAATAAAAAATTTAAGTAGTTCGATACGTGCACTAATTAACCTCCTTGGATATAGTTTTTACAATTTTATGTTCCTTGTTGATTAAATCAGACAACTAAGAAGCTAAGAGAAATGAAAGTGACATCAATGATTGTTGGGGTGACGTCATTGGCTGACCATGAAGAGGAGCGTAGGGCTTTCATGGAAGCTGGACTTAACCATTGCTTGGCAAAACCCTTAACCAAGGCCAAGATCCTCCCTCTCATTTCTCGCCTCCTGGATGCTTGATGGACGACTTTCCTAAATATATATATTTTATAATTAAAAAAAAAAACAACTTCTACACATACACGTGTATATGTATGTTTAAAAATTTGCGTTTATGTGTTCTGGAATTTAGGGTTTTATGTTTGATATTTATCGTCTGTTGTCTAATCATGTACATTGTTTCTTTTGGCTTATTATTTTCTTTTTAAATAAGGTTTCCTTCTGACCAAAATAAATAAATATAAGGTTTTCTTTTGTTAAACTAATGACTTAATATATACGGTAACATTATATAGCTCATTCAGTTGCCATTTCAACTAAAACAAATCCACATATATATATATTGTTGATTTAATTTTATTTTTAGTTAACTATGATATTTACTATTTATTTCAATAATAAAGATAATGTATGCAATGTACTGATGTTACTGGATATATCGAATACATAACTAATTTAATTGAATTATATATACTTGTCCGGTTTACAGTATTGCGAATCTGATTACATTTATGTTCCATTTATATTATTTATCCAACAAAATTTAGAATCATATTTGAACGGTATTTTTTAATATATAGATCTAATTTTTTTCTTTTGCTTTCTCTACGTTTTATGTTATTATTATTATTATTATTATTATTATTATTATTATTATTATTATTATTATTATTATTATTATTGTTGTTGTTGTTGTTGTTTTTTTTTTCAATCAAATAAATTATTTCATATATCACTTCAGTTCCAATAACGTATACTAGATAGAAACATTATTAAAGAAGATACATCATATCTTACTTTTGGACTTGATAAGTTGGTGCAAAAAAGAGTAAATTCTAATTTCAGCGGTTTATATCATCTTAGCTAGATTTGATTAAGCATTAGGTGGATACATTTATAAGTACATATACTGATGTTGCGCTAGATTTGGTTGTAGAATTTTCTACTTTGTGACTTTTATTTATAATTGAAATTCTCATTTAATTTCATCAAGGTTCAAAATTAAGCTTGACCCAAAAAAAAAACAAGCTTCAAAAACCAGACATCTATAAATGCATAGTTCATCCAAATATCGTCGTTTATATAGGCGGCGGGTTCATCAATTAACTATATATACAGCTGTTCTGATATCAATCGGATAACTAACAATCAAAACAAATCAATTTTCTGTTTTCTTGCATTTGACACATCTAGCTTTTTTAAAGCAGCAAAATCAATGTACAAAATCTTTTATTTTCTCTTTGTTTTTTGAAGTGTCCTTACATCCTTTTGCAGCTAAAACTCGTGAGACTAAATCTAAAAAGTTTTGGTTATGTCAGTGTTATAAGTGGAATTATATTCTACCTTGTGTGAGTGTGTTTTGTTTTTTGAATTTTAAATTTATATTTTACTTTTCAAAGCATCTAATTACCTGTTTCTTGCAAAGTTCAAATTTGCTATATTTAGGCAACCCAATATCTTATTTGGCTTTTAAGGTGTATTGGTTTGATTTGGCGAAGCTTGGTAGCTTCAACAAAAAAAAAAAAAAAAAAACAAGATCTAAGTGTTGAATTCGAATATTTCCTATACCATAGATTTTTGAGATTTTGATTTTAGTTTAGATAAAAAAAGTTTGTACTATTATGCGTTGCAGAATAACTAGTAGAATATTTTAATTTTGAATAGTATTACCCAAAAAAAAAAGATATTGAAAACCGTACGTATTACTAAGAGAAGAGATTGTCAAAAAATAAAACTCATCATCAAACTGAGATAAAGAGCTTTATTTTGCAAGGGCACGACAAGATATCTAACTTTTAAAGTATAACTGAATTTTGGTTTTGTTATGATTTCTTCTAATTAAAGTCATCGCTGACCCCGTAAGAAAACTTAAATCCTATATATTTTGTGTTTACAGAGTATCGCACTAAAATGAAAAAAAAATAGTAGTCAGTAGATATTATACGGTCCATATATAAAAATAGATATCATTCCGATTCCATTTATTTATTCTGTTGTCTGATAATTTATTATATCAGGTAATATTAGATATCATGCTTGAATGATGTTCTCTCTTTAAATATTTGAAAATTATTTTTAGATTTGTTTTTCTATAAATAATATAGTAGAAAAAAAAGACTATGAGGATCAAGACGAATTAATTATTTCTCACAGTCTAAATATATAGAATATAGTTATATACTATACTCATGAGTTTCATTACTTCTCTCATGTTGTTTATTTACCTACATAGCATACAAGAGATGTGGCACCGTTCTTAACATCTCGGTCGATATGTTTGCAAGTACTTTGAATTAAAGCAAGTTATTTTTCACATTTTCATATTATTTTCGAAAACATTTGATACTTTTATCGATAAATTAGGAGTTATCAGTGAATTAATACTTTAACAATGAGTAATTAATGATATACAAGAAAACATCTATTCTATTGTTGATTACTTTCTGACGAAATTTGTGTAAAACCAGTTCAGATCAGACCACATAGTCTATATGGGGTCAGTCCATATATTAAAAACAAAATACAGATTTTGAGGAATTTGGCCCAGTTCGGTTTTGGTTTGACTTTTTGTTTAAAAACCTAAGAAATTGGTCCGGATTGGTCTATAACTCTGGATGTTTCGGCTCACTACAACATTCACTACAAGAATATCGGGTATTTATAGCACCCTAATATAGCGTTTATGGTCATTTTGCTATGGTTATAACATCGTCGGGTTTAAGATAGCGGTCGTGTTTTTGCAAACGCTATCGTATTATATTACTCATGATTTCGCGTATTATTTTTTAATCAAAGGTAACTTCAATAGCAGATATCTCATACAAACGTTATTAAAAAGGATAGGCGGTAAATTTTTACATGCGTGAGACACTTAGAAAAAAAAAGGCTCCATTTCCAGAATTCCCAAATTAAATCGAGGCCAAACCTAAATTTTTTGTTCTTCCCCCTTTTGACTCCCGCGTGTGTGATTAGCTCAATTCAAGTCCCCCTCACTCAAATCTCCTCTAAATTTCTAAATTTTCATGCCATTTCACTCAATCAGGCTCAATTTGACCTATTTCGTTCCGACATTGTAAATCTCCATCGATTTCACTCTCGTCTTGTATGCTCTCACTCTCAGGCTCGTCTCGTCTCGTCTTGCAATCTCTCCGTCAAATCCCTCAGTGAAATCTCTCCGGCTTACTCGCTCCGTCTTAATCTCTCCTTCTCCATCAAATTCTAAGGCAAGATGAATCTCTCCTTAATCTCGTCACTCTTTGTTTGGGTTAAATATTCATTTCTATTTTGTTAAATTTTAATTGATTTTTTCTTTTCATTTGTAGTTCAAGCAAGAGAGAACAAACTCTATCAGGTATCTCATTTGTAGTTCGATTTGCACATTTTGTTGTTCTTTGAGAACTGTTGTTGTGTCTTAACGTGATTGTACTTCTGGTAATTGCGTATTGTGTCTGAACAATTTTTCGGAGCTGTTGATAAATGGATAAAGGTTGGGTCTGGTTACCAAGGTATTCACACTTTCATTACTCTACCTTTGTGTTTAAGATTTCAGTGATTAGAGATTTGTGTTTGATAAATGGATAAAGTTTGTGTTTGATAAAGTTTTTTACTTTTACTTATAGGAATAGCCTTCAGTATGAGGAAGGAGCAACTAAGTTTGTGTTTGATTCTGCAAGCCGTTTGGGTAATCCAGCTGAAATGTTCTGCCCTTGTGTTGATTGTCGCAATGTTTGCCATCAGTCAACTGAGACAGTGTTGGAACATCTAGTTATTAGAGGGATGGATCTGAAGTACAAGAGAACTCAATGTTGGAGTAAACACGGGGATATAAGTGAGCAGCCAACGTATAATCATACATCAGAGTATGAGGCTTATGATTTGATCAGGACAGCCTTTATGGGGACTGAAGGGAAGCAGTCATCTCAGCAGCCGAATGTAGATGAGTTTGAGGATACTGACATTGAAGGAGAAGCTGAGTTTAGAAAGAAGTTAGAGGATGCATAAACACCATTGTACACGACATGTGTGAACTACACCAAGGTTTCTGCAATAATGGGACTCTACCGGATTAAAGTCAAGAGTGAGATGTCCGAGAACTACTTTGATCAGCTGCTTACGCTAGTTCACGAGATGCTACCTGGAGACAATGTGCTGCCTAAGTCTACAGACGAGATGAAGAAATTTTTGAAGATCTTTGGTTTTGGTTATGATGTTATTCACGCATGCAAGAATGATTGCATTCTGTACCGGAAGCAGTATGCGGATTTGGTGAGCTGTCCAAGATGTACTGAACCAAGATGGGGAAGGGATAAGCACACTGGTGAGGAGAAGAAAGGGATTCCAGCAAAAGTGCTTCGGTATTTTCCTGTAAAAGATAGATTTAGGAGGATGTTTAGATCAAAAAGGTTGGCTGAGGCTTTGCAGTGGCACATCAATAATGCTACTGTTGATGGTACTATGCGGCATCCAGTTGACTCATTGACTTGGGTTCAGGTGAACAATAAGTGGCCAGAATTTGCTGCGGAAGGGAGAACCTTAGACTAGGTCTTTCAACGGATGGGATGAACCCTTTTTCTCTTCAGAATTCCAAGTACACCACATGGCCGGTTCTCTTAGTGAATTACAACATGGGGCCAACTGAGTGTATGAAGTCTGAGAATATAATGTTGACAATGTTGATACCTGGACCTACACTAGAAGTAAAGTTTGGATAAAAGGACACACGTATGCTGATGGGAGACCCATGAGAGAAGAATTTGTTGAAACTATTGTAAGTTTGATTTGAATTCTTATTGATGTTTGTTCGTCAGCTTGTTGTAATATAAGAGTTATACATTTTGTGTTTGATCATTGATTTCAGGAAAAAATCAAGTCAATTGATAGTGAGATGGACTCCACAGCCACGGATAATATCAGAGAAGATGCTGTGAGTCAGGTACTAGGAAAAGACAAACCAGGAAGACTTAGGGGGTTAGGAAAATGGGCTACTGCTACCAATTTGGCTTTTATACAGAGTCGAGACTCACATGTTCAGATGCTTGAAGCTAAGCAAGCAGAGTTAGTGAGCAAGCTTGAAGAATTGCAAAATCAAGTTACTGACTTAGCTGGCAAAAAGGTGAAAATTTATATTTTTTGAACTTCGAAAATTTGAACTTTGATGGTTAATAATAATTTGCTGAATTTATAT